GTGCTTTAAGGTTGAAAATAGAAACTCAGAGTGATCAACCAGTAGCCAAGGCATGCATTGAGATAGTGCCAAACGTATCTAAAGTCAGCTGGCATCCTTGCCCGCCAAAATTCTCTGATGACAAACTACATTATCACGGCCAGATAAACCCTCAGTCTTTAGCAGAAAATGACATGAACTGAGCAGTGAGCTGGCCAGTGTGCAGTACGTGAAGTGGTGAGGGGTGTTTGGACGTTGGGAGGTGATTGAGGGAAGGTTTATTTGTGGAAGCTGAGTGCTCTGGACGTGTTGTGATATCTCTGTGCCAAATTCACTCCTCTCCAGCCAAGCAGGCAGCCCTCGCTCTAACTCACCCAGCAGGGCTCGTATATCCATTATACCAGTGTTGGGGTAGTTACTCAAAAAAAAATCCACTACAATAACTAAAGACTTCTCTTCTTACTTATATCTCAATACTCATTACTTTACCACTAAGTTACTCTCTAAGACCCATTTTGCAAGTTTGGACCATGCCTTTAACATGTGCTGGTAGATTGAGGGAAGACTGACTAAGGCAGGGGAGAAAACTCTGAGAACCTGGGCTGCAGTTCTGGGCAGCCTCTGCCTGTAGCTAGAAGGCTGGACCCCACTGTTAACTGTGGTAGTGCTGATATAGGACTGAGAAACAGGGAGGAGATGGAAAAAGGAAGGTAAAGATGTTAATTTATAGGGCATTAGATTGGATGGATTGGGTTTCAGGCATGTTCCTCCCCTCAAACTTCAGTTTTTCCATAACTCTATTTGAATCCGTAGAACTGGAGAGTACAAGGGAAAAGCTCAACCATCCTTTCAGTTCTTTAATCAGAAAGAAACAGTCTATCAGAGTAAATTTCATTTAAAAGGCCCGTCACTATCCCTGCTTATGCTGGGTTGTAATTATGAACTGCTGGTTAGGGGGGTGATTTGGCAAAAACATTAAGATACTTATAGATATTTTGCACTAAACATAATACATATATTGATTTTTTGACACACTTAAAAACTACCATTAATAATTTTTAGTAGTTTTTATTCAACAGCTCACATACTGTGCTGCACTAAATCCAATTAAACAGAACTAAATTATGCTCTCTTTTTAATAAACATGCAGTTGTTCTGTATCCTGCAAGTACTTATGATATGCTTAAAGAAGCATATTGTTTATCAAGATAACAAAAGTTATCACATTAATGATAAAATATCGTACTATTGCCCATCTCTATGGCTGGTACTCTTTGGAAACCCTCAGCTGTGCTGTTTCATTTATTACAAGTGAAGACAAACATTCTTAACTCTGTCTAGCAGAAGTGACCCTTCATGCCATCATGAATACAGATACATAAGCCCAGGACTTTCAGACAGTCCAACTTCATTCTGTTTCATTAGTGGAAAGCTGTGGATTGGCAAAGGACCAAGGCAATATTTCTTGCAAGGCAGACAAGATCCACGGTGTCTTTGTTCTCTAAGAGACTCTGGTCTGGCTGGCAAAGCCACTCCACCAATTTCTCTCCCAAAATGGCACCAGTTATTGAAGACCCTCCATCATGCAAACAACTGCCACATGTGCTGTAAGGTCTTATCCTTCAGCACTGCTGTATTTTCAAATTCCACGTCAAACACAATCAAGATTTAGGACACTGAAGCACACAAGAGTTGCTTTTATTGTTTTTGAGGTGTGAACCAATGCCCAGGCTACATGTGGACAGAAAAGCTGCCAAACTTCAGTATTATAGATGGAGTACACTCTTTCAGCTGTCAAATTTCATAAACCTCTAACTGCATCTGTGCCCTCTCCCTCAAGCATTTCTGAATGTGGCAGTAAGCTTTGTTACACTATGTGTATATAATATAAAAAGTGCATCTCTTTCACACATGTTGCAAAGAAGTAAAAGAGATACAAAGAAGTCAAAAAGCTGAGCTAACACCATCCCAAGGGATCACTAGTGTTTTATCAGTGTTAGTAGGTAATGAATTAGCAATTACCACAAATTTTTCAAAATGTATTATTTGCATTTGCATCTTACACGACTAAGATGTAAACAAAGTCGTTCACAGCTGATTTAACGTGTCATGCACCATTCTAGAGACACTTGCCACGTCAGAATTGTTCACAGTGGTGGTGATAGGAACCAGACATCTGATGAGTTTAGAGTTTAATGCCTCTAAAAGTTCCTTCACAGAAAGTAATTTTATTAAATGGTTATGGATATGCTGCCTGATGACTGAGACATTGTTTTACAATAGTTTTGTGAAGATTTTTGCCTAAAACGTATCATTTTTAAATCCATTTGTGGCAGACAGGTACATACAGGGTGTTGTAAAGCAAAACAGTCCCTAAAGAGATGCTTTGTTTTTCAGATTTACCACTATTTTATCATTATCAACATTACATATAAAAACCCAGAAGACACACGCAAGTTTACTGTTCATTTTGAATAAAAAATAAAACGGCTACATTTGCCCTGTAGACATTGCGACCCCTGGTTCCTATCACCATCACTGTAAAGAAATCAGAGTTTCACATCAAACCACTCTGAATGACTTTGTTTACATCTCAACCACTGAAATTTTGAAAAATTGGTGGAATTCCTTTAAAGAGGTTAAAATCAAAAACCACCACCATTGGAAAGAGGCACAAAACTGTCACCTGGGCCAGTCACTGACTTAAACCTTGGCTAAAAGAGATTACAGCAGAGCTAAATGAAAGCTTTCAGATGCAGAGCATTGCTACACTTGCACCAAACTGAATGCAAGTTATCAAGAGAGTACTAGTGCAATACAGATAACAGTGTATAGTCTTGCATTACTGTAGTATATGTGACAAGATTAAGAAAAACATTCATTGCAAAAATGTAGAACAGAAGATGCACATGCTTGCACGTGATTTTTGAAAATGACTGTTTCAGACCAGAACACAAGAAAATATTGCATTTGACTGTTCACCCTCATGTGCCGATAACCTGTAAACCCTCTTCAGGAATCATGTGTTACCGGAGCCCTCCAAATAGGCTTACTATACGTACTCTCATCTCTCCTTCTCGTTTCCTCCACTACCAGCATGTGAAGCATGAGCAATGGTCCTAAAATAACCACTCGTTATGCAAACTTGCTACAGCAAATCCTGTTTCTGAGTTCCAGGCCTTGACAGACTTAATGGCACCGAACTACAGTTCTACTGCACTTAGACACTTGTAGAGTGAACACTTGCCCTACATTCTTATTGTTGAGAGAAAACTGCTCTCTCTCTCTCTCTCTCTCTCTCACTCTCTCACTCTCTCTCTCTCTCTCTCACTCTCTCTCCCTCTACACACACTTTGCAGAGAGCAATGTAAAAGCCCTCATCTTGGAAGCATGGGACAGCTGGATTAGTGAATACCAGTCTAATGTTATTTAAGGATTAAAGGATCTAAGAAAGACAGGAAGGACAGTCCGAAATCTCCTGTTAATCACAGAGCCAGACACTGATAGCAGTCAAATGTAGGCTATACTGCATAAGTCTTCTTAGTTAGTGGTTATGATCGAATATCAGTACCTCAAGAAAAATCCAGCAATGTTTCACTCCTTACATAGGCTAAAATGAGCCTCGCACAATTGCAGTAATAGTAACATTCTTCTCTACGTGGTGTTTATACTTCTTCAGCATCTATCCTTAATTTTCTGTTAGGCCTGATTTTACATGAACTTTTTTAAAACATTTTCTTAATGCTCTGGTAAAAGTCACAAACACAGAAAATACTTGTAAATAGGCTAGGTTAAACTGTTAGACAAAGTGGACCTTAGTAATAAAAAGTGGAGACTTCAGCTAAAACGAGACTGTATCATCAAAATAAAATATATAGATCATGTAGCTAGTAGAAAAATATAGATCAAGACAATATTAAGAAATAAAGGATATAAGATGAGAGAGTGAATAACGGAAAAACTGAGGATCACTAACAGAAAGCACTGATTTAAATATAGGTTTAGCTGTATGTGATATTTGCAGTTTTGCATTATTAAGGAAAACTCATTTCTGTGGTTTTACAGGACACAGTGACGTCACAGTTCTTTTATTAATTATATGATCTAATTCCAAGTATGAAATGAGTTCAGTATTTTATGTCTTGCCAAGTGAAATCTTAAATCTAGTCAATATATTTAATATTTCTCCTTATGAGATATTCTAAGACTTGAAGATCATTCAAGTAATTTCTAGATTTTTTTCCCTTTTTAGGTAATTTTATCTATTGTCTTATTCTATTGCCAATTTTATCTATTGTCTTATTCTATTGCTTGTTTCAAGAAATAATGCTTGAATAGAGTAGATAGAATCAGACAATTTCACTAGATAAAATAATTTTAAACAAGTAAAAATGTCTACAAGCAAGTTAAAGGCCCCATATTGTGAAAAACTGAATTTGTCTCACTTAAAAAAAAAGAGTACAGAATGTATATAGTTTGATGTAGTATATAAACAAAAATTTCAAAACATGCCATTTACTCCAGTCAAGAAAGTATATATATATGGAAACTAAACTGCAAAAACCTGTTTTTAATCTACTATTTCTGAGATCATTTCCCTGCATAAACATTAAAGGTGCAGTAACAGTAGCCTGTAGCCTTTTTAAGGCATAAAAGGTTGGAAATTGAGCATTTAAAAATGATTTATAATTAATTATGATTATTTTTGGTTCATAAAACTACACGAATGCCAGTGGACCTAAGGCATGGGCCCTTTAAATAACCTTGTAATATTCTTAAAACAATCTCAAAATGAGAAATATTAGATAGACTGACTAAGTTCCAACATGATTTCACTACTGAGATATAAGTTTTGCAGTGTGTGCAATGTGTCTGATTGAAGTGTAAACTGCAAAAAGAGCCAAAAGCCAATACTGTGTCCAAACACATATATCTGATCAGGCAAAGAAACCAAATCTGATTTGAGACAATCACCCTGCTCTCTTTAAGCATCATAGAAAATAATGCACAATTCTCTATACTTCAGAAGGTAATATGAAGCTGCAGGGTGATTTTATTTGGATTTCAGTTAGTCGTCCTTGGGGCTTTCAAGGTAAACAGTAGCAATTTTTTTCTCATGTCGGACCTTTAAAGAAGGGTCAATCATCTGGGTCTGTAGGAACTCTTGGACACTGGCTCCATCGCCTCTCTGTCCTTGGGAATCCACCCCTTCTAAGCTTGTTGACCCAGATGAGCTGTTGTTGATATCCATTTGAAATGTGAAGGACTTCTCAGCAGGCCCCAGCTTGATGACTTTTTCTGTTTTTCCAGCTTCACCAGCCGTGCTCCAGTCTTCAGTTTCTTCTAGGCTGGTCATCCATGGCATTCCCTCTGATTGGACCTCCTCTTTGGAGACTGTCATGGTATAGCTTCCACCAGCTCCAGCACTGAGGGCCTGGTGGAGTCCAGGGTTTGAGGACTGCAGTGCTGCCAAAACCTGTTCTTGGGACAGGTCATCTGTCTGATCATCCAGCAGCCCAGACTCCTCCAGAGTCTGAGAAACATTGAGCTCTGCTACAAAGGTCATTGTTCCATCGTCTGCAGGGTCTACCTTCTTAATGTCAACAGAGACACTCTCAGAGGTCTCACCAGCCTTTGTGAGAACAGCAAGTTCTTCTTTCAGTGATCCAGACACTGTGCCCTCCAGCTGTTCCAGGGCCCCCCTCAGCTGCTCTCTTGGGTCCAGAGACTCCTCTTTCAGGATCTCTAGCATCGACTCTTGCACTATGGGAGAAACGCGTATCTCCTCCTCAATGATACACTGTGGAAAAGGGTCTCTTTTGACATATTCAGGTGACTCTCTATTACTGTCATCTTCATCTGAGTATCTTCTGTTTGTAGGAGGACCTTCTTCCTGGTAGTATCTCTCATCTGAAAGGTCATCCACCACTCCATAATGTCCATAAGACATAAATCCACCACCCTCCTCAGATTCCGACATATTGTCTTCAGGGGTGGAAACAAAGTACTCTTGAGACTCTTGGCCCTGGGAATAGTAGGGGAGACTCTCCTCTTTGGACACCTCCTGGACCTGCACAGATCCACTCTCGCCATACCCTGAAGTTGCCACAGTCTCACTGGCACTCTCATATTGTTCAGTTGGCGGAGGTTCATTTTCTGGCTCTTCAATCTGGAAGAACATTGTTGAAGGTTTGAAGTAAGGTTTAGCTTTCACCTCAACAGTCTCCTCAATTTCAACCTCCCCTTCTTCATCACTTTGAGATTCCACTGGTTCCTCTATTATCTCCACATTAACAGACTTGTTTTCTAGACTTTCACCTTTCAGACCAAGACTTAGCAGATTTTGAATCATGCCTCCTGTTGGGGTTCCCTCAATATCCTCCAGGGAGACTTTTTTCACTCCCTTACTGAGGAGTTTCTCCAGAGCAGAGTCATCCGACACATCCAGATTCTCTTCCACTTTTGATTGCAGGACTATCTGAGTCTTGGTGCTTCCATCCTCTTGCTGTGTTTTCTCTACATGATATGTGATCTTTGAGTCAGTGGATGGACTAAGCTTTGTATCCATGCCAGCAGGCTTCATGACCTTCTCAACAATTTCTTCCATGGACACAGAGTCCAATACTTTTTCCTCTCCTGCAAATTTCTTTGGTTCCACATTTACAGACTCTTTCAAATCTTTCCGATCTTCATGTTTGAACTCTTCTTCTTGGACAAACTGTACTTCACCAGATTTCACTGTTACCTTGGTATAATCTGTTTCTGCTCTCTCATACCTTCTCTCGTTTTGCTTATCAACAACTTTCTGATGGCTTTCCTTATTGGTGCTCAGGCTCATCATGGGAGGTGATACAACTCTCACTGATTTCTGTTCTGCTGTTGGTGAGGCAGTGGAGACTAATTTGCTTCCTGTTACTGACTGGTCCTGTGACAACCCTTTGATTTTCACACTCTTCTCCTCCATCACTTCTTTGGTTCTGTCACTGGCTGAGACTCCAGGTTTGGCTGCACTTGCTGCAGCTGCTGCTTGAGTTGCTTTGGTGAAAGAGATCATATCCCTTCTTGCAGCAGGACTCTGATGGGCATGTTTTGACACAGCGATGGGCACAACCCTGGAGGCTCTTTGGGAGTCAAACTGACTGGATACAGTAGAGGTTCTAATGCTGGAAATGGGCTCCATATACCTCACATCATATCCTGTGTAATGCCTTCTCACTTCTGGCTGACGGGTGGAGACCCTTGGAGCGTACTGAGAAGGTAATTTGATATCTAGGAGAGAAAATGACAAGCTTTAATATTTGGCTATTGGTTTCATTCTTGTACTAAATGAAGCTGAATATTAAACCTTAGAAAGCGAGAAAACTGCACAGAAAAAAATAGTGCCACTGTACCTATTATTCTCTCTCTTGAATGCTGATCAGACCTCATCTGAGCATGTTTTCCTTCTCCTTCCAGTAGCGCCCTAAAAAGCAAAGAAAATAAATAGTTAACGTTTTTTTTTTTTTAAACAAAACCATTTGGGTTATCTCGGCTGTTTCTTTCACCTGTCTGGAGGGTGATGAGCACCTTGTTCTGCCATCACAAAGCAAAACCTTAAACCAAAAGGAAAACAATATAACCAAGTATCAAACCTTTTGGCACAGAAACAAAATGGACATGATAAGACATTAACAGATTGCTCTCCCATTATGTCCTTTCACTATCTTTTCTGTGAAACCTACCTTAATGGTGATAGCTTATAGCTTCACAGCACATGCAAGTGGATAGAAAAAAGCAAAGAAAAATCTGGTTGAGCAAGAGCTCAGTATATCCCTTGTGGATGTCTCCTCTGGGTCTGCTGAAAGACTAAACTAAAAATAACAACCACAATGCACTCTGCCTGTTTCCTTTATGGCTTAGAATGTGGAGCTGTGACACAGACACAGGAAGACTTGCTTGTGTGTCCTCTACATCACCAAGGAAGGCATTCTAAATATTCCCAATAACGTGCAGCACGGAGCAGACATGAGAGTGGGATCTGCCAAAAAAGACAGCGGAGGCTTCAAATCGAAATGGCAAAAGAAAGTCAAGAGAAGAATCCCAAACGGTATGAAATGTGAAACAGCAAAGAAGTCCTGCGGCAGTAAGAGGAAGGACTGTGGTGGATCTTTCTATAAAAGGTCTGGCAGTCACTTTGTGTACATATTGGAAGGTGAGTAGATGTGCCTGCTTGCCATCTTTGGAATCATATTACTAACCATGGATACAAAGTCAAAATACAATATTTCTTTTAATAGACATATTGGCTGATACACTTCATAACCACTAGAGAAAACATTGTCTGATAAAATACTTCTGTGTTCTGCCAAAGATACTGTTCTTCACCTGAATTATTACTATATTTATAAAGTTGGCCTCATGCAAAAGTGTATTTACTGTCTTTACATTTAAGGAATGCACATTCTCATTCAACAATTGCAACATTGTTTTGTTCCAAACCCTGTCACTGAAAGTGGAGTTAAAGTTTGTGACCAGAGAGTAGAAGGACTCTTCACAGCTCTGCCAAACAGTAGGCAGCACTTCTGTTGCTTCAGTCCTGTATGAAATAACTAAAAACACAGTACAAAAGCTAAGGCTAGACACAGGCTAGCAAAAAAATCACCAATGTTAAATCTACACTGTGAGTGTTTAACCCTTTCTTAGTGTGTGTGCATAGGTCCTATATACTTATACACACACTGAGAAAGCGTGAAATTTAACACTCACAGTGTAGATTTAACACTGGCAAATTTGCTGTGTGCTTACACACTCCTGTAACATCAGACCCTGGGTTTTATCAACTGGGTGTAAAAACACCTCCAGAATCAACTTTCATCAATCCTAAAATTTTTACTCTGAAAAATCAACACATTTTACTACTGCAAAATTTACTGTGTAAACATCTCAAAACTATCTGACAGAATTGGCTTACCAATTTGAGTATGCACCTCAGGCCTTTTTTACTTCTTTATTCTTTAATAACGTAACACAACTAAGTGGGCCATTAACAATATTTTCCTCAACTTAATTAAGCCTTGTAGAGCCTGTTTACTTTCACTACAGTGTATGCAAGCACTGTGAGTGCTAACCCATCAAGCAGAATTCTGATATTAATATTTAATGGTGGTGAAAAGCTTCGTAAGAAAACCCTGCTTCATTCCCTCCTTTCGCTCACTTTGGCACGAGAACATGGAGGAAAATGCCCCCCCACCACCCGCTGTAAGGACTTACATGAAAGGTCACAAATATCTGAGAAACACATAACAGGAGAACACCGAACCTGGAAACAGAGATAATAATTGGGACATATTTAACCTGATCATGTTTCCTCTGTGCCTCTGTCTCTTTTAACTTTCTGCTACCTTCATGAACTTTATGTGTGCTGATGATGTGTACTCCCTCTGATAAGTGAGAGAGAAATTATACTTAAAGTAAATTATACTTAATTAAGTACGTTGCAAAAAATCTTAAAGTGCAAAGTCAAAAGCACTCTTGAGTGAAAGAATCAAAAAGAATCGACGTTTAGACACAGTCAAATATATTAAAGTAAAAAGTAAATGGTTTAACAGATAAAATCATGCAATTTGTTTGGTGGTGTGTAATGCGTTGGTGTTTGGTGTTGTGACTAATGACCGTTGCTGGTTTTTGCCTAAAGACAAATTAGCATAGCTGTGGGCAGTTTTATTATACATTGAAAAGAAACTGGTTGGATTGTTTAATAAAACAAATGAATTAACATTAACTTTGGCAAAAGATATATAAAAAGGACAATCCCATGGCCTTTCAGATTTGTAATGAGTCTGGATTTCTAAATAGAAATGTAAAAAGCAAAGAAAGTTTTTTTTTCCTTTTAGAAGTGTAACTGAGTAAAATTACAATCACTTCAGTAATTTTTGCCACTAAAAAAGCTGTGAACACCAAAAAGTATGATCACAGAACAGTGTAATTTTATGCTCTTTGGTCCCAGTCAAACTGAACATTGTGAACTGCCTGTAAAAGGTTGCATTTTGTTGTATAAAGCAGACAACTTCAATGGGATCTTTCTTCAATAAGTAAAGTATAATTCTTATTTTTTGGGGTGGAAATGGTGGAAATGTGTAACTGCATGCAACCTGCAGAGGAATATTTTGTAACATAGTTGTGCTTTGGTCCCTTTCTCCAAGCAGATGAATCTGATGATTCAAAGAGAACTCGGTCAAAACTTGGTGAAGGACGTGTCTTCCAAGGATGTAAGTGAATTATTCACTATTATCATTATATCTTCATCAGTTTAATGTTGATTCTGCATTTAAGACTTAAACATCGAGCCATAGCCTTTTTGAGCCTGTGTGTGATGTTAATACACAAAGACATATGATGTGGTCTGAAAAACTCCCACAAAAATCTGACCTCTGACTTTTAAATTTTTATTTCACGCTTTACAGGGTGACTCACAGCAATGCATGGACAGCATATTTTCTTGTTTTTTGTCTCCTGACTCAGTAATGCTACTTTTTCCAATTTTAACAAAAAGTCTTACATAGTGCAGCTTTAATATGCATGTTTGTGTCCGAAAGGAACCGTACCTGTATGCTGCCACTTCCAGACTGAGCCCCATCTTAACCTGTAGAAGGTCCTGATGGTCCTTCAGCTTTTCTGAAATAGTGTTGGCCAAAAGCTGGCGCTCATGTTCCAGCTCTTCAACGATCATCTACAAAAGAGGAGGAGAGTTAGATGCCATTTTTAATATTTCTGTACATCCAACTAATCAACACGATCAAGTGCATTTGAATATCAGAGTCAGGCATTTCAGATTAAACCTAGAACTGAACTCTACAGGGTGACAGATCTCCTGGAGAAGGCTTGACTGCTTCTGTTCTATACTCTGAGGCTTGCCAGAAGCAATGTACAATACTGAGGAGTAGATGGAATGTGATTAGTGAAGAGCCAGGTTTTAGTGTGATGTTATTATTCCGAACTAATACCAGTCTAACACAACATGATAATAATTTATGTCTTCTCTTGAAATGAAGGAAATAGTTATGTGAGTGATTTGCCTTTGCAATCAGAATGTATTTTGGGCACCACTGTTTCTGCGATGCACCTGTTGAGGATCTCTCGCAACACCTTCCCCCACTACACTGTCATTGCGCGTTTTAAAGAGTCAGGCCTGGTAACTGGCTCATAGCCAAAAGCCTGAATTAGGCCATTAAGCAATTCGTCAAGCAGATCAGACCCACAAGATGCTGTAGTATCTGGGGCAGGTAAGTATGCATCCTTCAGTCTAGTCTTTAAATCCTCTCTGCTGGTTGTCGAAGCAGTCTGAATCCATGCTGCTACGCCTGTTATGTCTGATATGGCATGCAATATCTTTGCATTGTCCTTACTACTTTGACCTTTAAAAACCAATGAGCATGTCCATCTATTAAACAGGTGATCCGGATGCAAAGGTAAACTGGAAGAATCAAAGGCCTCTACTTAACTGTAGTAATATGTTTATGAAAATGAATGTTCCTCTTTTTTAAATAAATAAATAACTTGTTGTCTATTAAGATGTAAAAACAGCCCATGTTGAATTTACTGAATGTGATGTAACAAAAACCAATGCATTCACATATATCTGCCTATTCAGCCTACAGGAGTTTAGCTCAACTCCACTGCAGTTATAAGTAGTGTTTCACCCCAGACTGAGGTACAATACAAGGCAGACACATCAGAACAGAAATCATTTTCATATATCAGACTTTGATGTAAAGCAACAAAAGCAAAGACAGTGAAGTGTTGGACAGTGATCACACAAAAATGAATTATGACTGCTTTCGGTATATTAACCCACGCACAACCTTAGAAGGACCTCGGGGATAAGAATAAAATACAATGAAAAATCAGGGATATTGGCTCTTTAAGGCAGATGAGAAGCATCTTCTTCAGTATGTGCAATAATGTCCTAAATTGTAAAGTAATAAATAATAAATTACTCTGTCAGAAAACATTAGGGCCTGATCCTGCAGATGATGCACATTAAGATTTAATTGGTGTGACACTTTGCCCAGGCCTCCCTTGTGGCCTTGTTAATAACAGGTGGGGGCCTGATGCTTTATCTTCAGTTGTCATCAAGTACTTAGGCATGAATGCTGCCAGTAAAATTTAAGATTACAATATCAGGACTTCACACAAAAATACAGCCTCCTGAAATGAAGACAGATTAGCTTTATATTAGAATTTGCCTTTAGTCTGTAAAATACTGGGGGACTCTCCTCTCTTCTCCACTGCACTGTGCTGTGTTGTGATAGTTACTCTCAGGGCAGTGCCAGCTCATAGGCCAGGACAACAGCTGCCTCCATTAGCCTACACACTTAAAAAAAGATGGTTCTTTAAGGTTCTTTAGTAAAGACAAAGGTTTTATTTACAACCATTACTTCAATATAGAACCATTTCACGTTTAAATGGTTCTCTGCATGTTGAAATGGTTCTTCAGATTGATGGAGAATTTGTAGTGTATGGCTCCACACAGAACTTTTTAGGAAATGGTTTTATGTAGCACCAAAAGGGTTCTACTAACGTTACTGTGCCAAGTTTGTAACAATGAAGAACGTTTTTTAAAGGGTGTACAGTGTTTCTGAGGGTGGGTGTGGCCCTCCTCTGGGACAGGGAGAGAGAGCTGATGTTTGTCTGCAGACAGATTCATGTTGTCAGCAGACGGTTTCAGCACAATGGAACTAACAGGGCTTTATGTTTTCAGTGCAACACATTTTCTTACCTGGTACTGACTGATGTCTCCTTTAAAGTTCTCCTGCATGTTGATGAGCTGCTCCTCCAGGTCCAGCTGCAGCTGGGCGTGTTTCTCCACCTCTGCCCGCAGCCTGTTCAGCTCCGAGCCGTACTGCATCCTTTCTTTCCTGAAGTCTTCAAGCCTCGCCTGGTCCGCTTTCACGGCCTCCTCCATTTCCTCGACCTTCTGGCGATACATCTCGAGCGTATCCATCCAGCTCTCAGACAAGTGGAGCGCGTATTCCTCCACCTCCTCCATGCTAACCGCCGGTGGGCCACGGCGGACCTCGGTCACCACAGGTATCACACGCGAGTGCACCTGGCTCCTGAGGTGGGTCACTTCCTTTCTGTGGGCGTCTTCCAGAAACGCGCACTCGCGCTGCAGCTCGCCGAGGCGCTGCTCCAGGGCGCCGTTGGTGTGCTGAGCGTGGCGGAGCTGCTGCTCGCAGTCCCTCAGCTCTCCGCCGAGACCTCTGCTAACGGCGCACTCGTCCGAGCACAGCGCCTGGAGGGCCTGAAACTCTCGGCGGAGTTTCTCTCTCTCCACCTCCGCCTTGCTCTTCTCGAAGGACAGGCGCTCCACAAGCCTCCTCATCTCTCTCAGCTCGGCCGTGTGTCGGCTCTCCCGCTCCTCAGACCTGCTCTGCCTCACCGCGTTTATCTCCGAGATCAGGCGGGCGTTTTCTTGCTCCAGCAGCTTCGCTCTCGACAGGTACTGGCCGAGCCTGCAGTTCAGCTCCTGAAGTTGGAGCTTTTCGCTCTCGAACGGTCTCCTCAGCTGAAACATCTTCTTCTTACTTGTTCGTCCCGTCGAAATTAGACAAAGTTGCGTTAAAACTGTAAATTATCTCTCCGTTGTCATGGGTGCGTGTGGAGAAAGAGGCTGTGCTCCTGTCAGCCTGAGGCGGACTAATGTGGAAGTGCAGAAATGGGAGGCGCGCTCATCATCATCTCTGCCTACGGGGCAGATGTGAAAGGCGCGTTATTGTTTCTCCCACCCGTTTACCGACATGCCCCGCCCTCCTCGGCTACGATTGGCAAATACTTCATATAAATAATTATTAAACATGTAAAAATTTTATTTGATTATATATTAGATTTTTTTTAATTCGTATGAGATTACACGAGACTATTTGAAATTACAGTGGCAGTCAGTGAGGCAATCATGTATGCAATCAGCCATTCACACACATACACACAGTACACTTTATAAATACATTTATATAGAGTATATATAAATGTATATGTATACACTCATAAGGAAAAAATATATATACACAAAAGTATATGTATATTATTATACAAAATTATACCCATGCACTTTATTTTCAAGAGTTTTTATTAAAAACAATGCACACGATATCTGCACTGTACTCATACAAGTAGTCACAACACAGTTCCTATTGGCAGACTGTTCATGAGCATAAACTGCTAGCCAATCACAGTGCAGGAGGAGGGCGTTTGTCTGAATACAGGTGGGAAAACAAAACTACAGCGTGGTGAGAGCGCACGAGCACACGCGGAGATGTGCTCCTCCCGGCGCTGTGAGGGCATGGCTCTCCCAAGTGGAGGGAGATGGACAGTGCAGAGCCTCCTCCTCCTCCTCCTCCTCCTCTGTCTTATGCACCGTGACCTTCCAGAAGTCAGACTCCAGCTGAAGGAGCGAGTAACTGAAGCGTCGTCAAAAGGAGCAGCGGACAGAGCCTCTCTCAGGTCACTCCTGTTGGGCGGGAGGCCTCTATGACGGAGCTGTGCTGGATGTGTGGATTCGGGAAACAAACAAGGTGAAGGAATAAAGCTCTATTTTTATTTCTAAAATGTCTTCGAAGCCGATGGACTCTCCTCAGAAGGAGCTGGTCGTGGTTACAGGTTCGTGGAAGTTAAAGGTTAGCAAAGCTGTTAGCATATGTGACCTTTTTCAGATGTGACAGCATCTTTAATTTTTTGTTTTGAGCAGCTGTCATATTTTTGTCTTGACCAGTTCACTAATAATTCTCTGGTGGTCACTTTTCGCCGCTTATTTGTCTTAATGTGTTACTTTGTGCAGGATTTGGTCCATTTCGACAGTATTTGGTGAATGCAAGCTGGGAAGCAGCTAAGGTATCAGGTTCTCACACGATCAATGTATTAATGTATTATTATTTTCATGCTCCCTGAATGTAAAATAATGAAATTGCTAACTGATGTATTTATGTATTAATGCCAATGCATGTGTGTCTTTCTTATGAGAACACAATAATAAGTCATTAAGTGAAACATCCATCACCTGTAAATATTTTGTAAAATATATTATAAATATATACAGTAAGATGTAGAATGTGCATTCAAGATAAAGGCTGAACATTGTTTCTATGTAATGGTACTGTAGAGATTCCTGTGAGTTACTCAAAAGCTCAGCAAGCCATCGCTGAAATATGGCAGAATATGAAACCAAAGGCAAGTTTAAAAAGTAAGATCTTCTTGCTACGATAGACAAGTCCTGAGCCAAACCTTTCTTACATTTCTGGCACACTGTCATTTTCCCCAGACATGTTTTTTGTCCACTGGGTCTGTTTTGGGAACTTTTTTGCAATGTTGTCTCTTTTGCTTGAGATTACAGTAGCAGTCAGTGAGGCAATCTTGTATGCAATCAACCCTCCAAAGTGCTCGAATACATTCATTTTGAAGCTGCCAAACTGCAGAGATCCATAACGAGATGCTCTGAATATGATGTAACTGATAAATGAAAGTGATTGTGCACATCACATTTTTTTGAGTTGCAGCTTCTGTGAAATTGAACTTGGAGTGTATTTTTGCAATGTTGTCAATGAAAGATTTAGTTTAGCAGTTTCTTTGATCATTGTCTGTGAGATGCATCACTGAACCAGCAGCTCTAAGATTATATTGGGTGTGCATGAGCAAATTTCTATATTGCATTAATATTTGGTTTAAAAATAACAAACTTGCCCACTCGAAGCTAATTCAGCTGAGGTACTGCTTCCGTGCCCCAGAGATTAGCCCTGCTCCTGGGAGCTGAGTTTGAGTGCCAGTTGAGTTTGGGAACTAAACTAAGCCCTTTCATAGCACCTGAGAACACAACTGGTCACATTCTTACTGACTCACAAACGCTTACTGACCACTGAGCTGCCACGACTATAGATATACACATTAGAGATTTAGACAGCCAGCAGAGGACAGCAGCACATACAATCACTGAACCAGCAGATTGGTAAGTGTCCCACTTAGACCCCCAAAAGCGTAGTTTTTTGTCTTCTGGTTAGAACATCTGCTTCTTCTTTTGGAAAACATTTGCTTATCTGATTGCCAGTACAATAATGCTAATTTTTGCTAGCATTATATAACAATGTTATGTTAGCACTAAGCAAATGGTGGTGTACATCAGTTTCTTACACTGTGTTAAAGAAACAATGTTAATTCAGTTAAACTCAAATTAACATGATTTATCACTTTCCCTAGATCAGCCAAGACATGTATCTGACATGTGCTTCTTCATTTTACAGCAGGAGATGGTAGGCTAATGTTGCTAACAAAACCTGGACTTAAACTGTCGCCAGACTTATTTCTGTAAAACATGCCCAAAAACATCTTTCAACCCGCTCAAAATGCATCTTCATTTGTTTCACACAGACACATCGATGTGGTACATGATATGGCTTACTTTAGTCTATAAAAACGTCTATAAAAACAAAAATAAACATGGCAGTGGGCCAGCAACTGTGAATAACCGGGACCACTTTTACCTCAGCACAATATGTGTTATCATTCTGTGCAAGGCGACTAAAGGCAGGGCTGTGTTAACATTGATGGTGCGTAAGGTAACTTGGCAGTGAAGCTGAGCTAGTGTATTTGTGAGATCAAAACAATGTCTGATTATGATTTTGACGACAACATTTTCAGCCATGTATGTTTGAACTTGAGTACACACATGAAGAGACATGTCAGCTGAACGCTAGACCCACCAGTGACTCATGTTCTAACAGAAAGATGCAACTTCTAGCTGTGTTACAGTCATGAAGCTTTAGCTATGCTAAACAACATACGTGATACCGGCCTAGTGACGGAGTAGTACTCCGAAGCGAGATGTTATGCAGATGATAAGGTAGTTCCAATTTTAGCTTAATTGTTTAAATAATTATATCTATGCCATTGTACTAAATAAAAATCAGTTTGTTGAGGCAAATAAATAGATTTTGGCATGTATATATGGAGATTAGTTTGGTGACAGTTTAAGTCCAGTATTTGTTAGCAATGTTAGCCTAGCATCTCCCACATTTCTTTCCTTATCAACTGCCTCTAGGGTAAGTGATAAATCATTTTAAGTAGATTTTCAGCAAACTATTCCTTTAATACTGCTTGTGGCAGCTCTGGCTTTAACAGTGACGTGTGAAGCTTGCAAGACTTGCATGTAATGTTTTTTACTTTGTAGTTATTGGAGAAGTCTGTTAGCCTGTATGTGACCTGTGGAGCTGACTGTTTAACAAAATTGCGTTCTTAAATAGTGCATATTCTAATCTAAACATGCCATATTCAAATACCCAATTAAGTATGAATACAAAGATGGCTATCTGTATGTTCTCATGGTGAGATAGCTTAATAGTTCTGTCTCAGATTGTTTTCCAGATTGGACACGTTCTTTAATGCGTTTAGCAGTAAAGTGTGTTTCATGCCGATTTAAAGCTAGATTGTGTCACATAGTTCACTTTGCAATTTAAGGTTAATTGTACATGTATTGTATATGTATTAGGGCTGGACAATTAATCACATTTTATTTTCAATTAAGATTTTGGCATCCAACGATTATGAAAACAAGATAATCATGATAACTTGGTCCACTGCTAATCCACAGAATGGTACATGAAACCCAGTGGATATGGCATCTGCCGTAATTAATAAATACTCTTTTTCAGAGTGAATAATGCTGCTTGCAGACATCAGAGTTTTGAAGTCATGTAACTCGTTATTGATTTTAAATAATGATAGGATCCAAGTATCCACTCCTTACCACATTCGTTCCCTCTGATTAACAGGTTGCTGTCCACTTGGGCATAGCAGCAGGAGCCAAATGCATCATTCTGGAGCAGACAGCCAAGAACCATGGCTACAAAGACAGAGATGTGTGTGGCTTCTGTCCTGCCAATAACTGTTGCATTGAAGAAGGAGTGGAACGGTTGGACTCCATTATATGCATGAGGTCCCTTGCCAAACACTTAAAAGGGCTCGGTCTGGATGTCATCTATTCCAGGGACGCTGGGAGGTTTGTACTTGCTAACAGACCATTTATTGTGGATAAATTACCAAATTTACTACTGTGTTATTTAGTATAGTGTCAAAGTTGGTATTATCTCACAAACTACCTGTTAAGACAGAGTAGTAAAGGTAGCAATGGTAAAGACCTTACATATGACTGTTATTACCATCGAGGGGTCTGAAAAAAAAGTGATGCAATACAATATTGCAATATCTGAGGTTTTCAAAGAGTATCGATACATGGAGGCCCAGGTATTGATATTTGATCATTTAATTGTGAATATTTTTAACATGTATTAAGCTCATTGAGTATTAATTGAATGGTTTGGTGAAAAATCAAACATATGTAATTTTCCATGTGGCCCAGATGTAGTCAATAAACCAAGACATGTTTGGTGTCCAAATTTTGCTCGTTTAACTTAGTGCTGGAGCTACAAGGCTAACGTTGCTAATAAACACAAGTAGACACCTAAATCTTTTCAGTAAATACAGCACTTAACCTGCTCAAACAGCAACTTCACTGTGTAGAAGAATGCTGGAGGCAGCTATTTAGACAGCCGCTGTTGTGCCGAATTCTGGCACCACAGATTAGGTGATTTCTGTTCCTTCTTTTTGTAACTAACAGCTGTTCTTGAAGATTTTAACCAAAGATACACTATATGGACAAAAGTATTGGGACACCTACACATTTTACCTACAGGAGCTTTTGTGACATCCCATTCTAAATCTGTAAGCATTAATATGGAGTTGGTCCCCCTTTGCAGCTATAATAGCTTCCACTCTTCTGGGAAGCTTTCTACAAGATTTTGGAGAGTGGGAATTTTTGCCCATTCATCCAGAAGAGCATTTGCGAGGTCAGACATTGATGTTGGACGAGAGAGTCTAGCTCACAATCTCCATTCTAGTTCACCCTAAAGATGTTTGATGGGGTTGAGGTCAGGGCTCTGTGTGGGCCAGTCAAGTTCTTTCACACCAAACTCACCCAGCCATGCTTTAATGGACCTTGCTTTGTGCACTGGGGCACAGTCATGCTGGAACAGAAATGGGGCTTCCCCAAACTGTTCCCATAAAGTTGGAAGCACACAATTATCCAAAATGTCTTGGTCTGCTAAAGCATTAGAATTTCCGTACACTGGAACTAAGGGGCCTAGGCCAACCCCTGAAAACCAACCCTGCAGCATAGCAACCGCCAATTCCAGACTCGTCCATCAGACTGCCAGACAGAGAAGTGTGATTCGTCACTCCACAGAATACATTTCCACTGCTCCAGAGTCCAGTGGCAGTGTGCTTTACACCACTTCCCTGACAATTTCACAAACTGACTTGTGACAAAGCTGGCATCCTATGACTGTGCCATGTTTAAAATCACTGAGCTCATCAGTACAGCCTATTCTACTGCCAGTGTTTGTCTATTGAGATTGCAAGGCTATGCAGTTAATTTTATTTTAGCAATGAATGTGGCTGAAACACCTGATCGCAATTATTAGGAGGGGTGTCCCAATACTTTTGTCCATATAGTGTATGTATTTATAAATAGAAACAACAGAAATTGCGAACATAATCAAGCATGACATGCAAATGTGAAGGGGTCTAGGAATCAGTGTTAACATCAGATTTCAGCAGGCTGAATCTTGTAAATATGTTTAAGGACAAAGTTTTTTATTTCATTTACTTAACAGTTCTGTTTTGCTTAAATATTGAAGTGAGATGAACCAAGTGTGAACTTTCTAGGCTCAAACCAGTTTTTTTTAGAGAAATAATTTGCAGTCAAAAGTAAAAAGTCACAATATATCTTAATATTTCATAATGCGGTTCTCACAATACTTAACATATCTTTATATATTGCAGTCGAATCGTACAGTGGCTCCAGTATCATGATAATATGTTATCGTGGGCCCTCTATTGATTCCCACTGCCCATTCCAACTACCATCTGTCAATTCAGTGCTATGATGGTACAGCTTTTTTTTCTTTTAAGAACTTTTAACAATCCAACAATACACAAAAAGTGAAGTGTTTATGGTTTTACGGGGGAGTATTACTCATAAGTAATGCTTGTGCTAGTCAGGATGGCTATGAAAATGAAGGGCCAGGGGCAATAATTAATGTTTTCATGCAAGGAACAACAAAGCTAGGAGCAATATACTTAAATTATTATAATATAAATTAATTAAATAAATGCCTAGAGTTAAAAAAGGGAACTTGAAGTGTAACGGCTTAACAGGACCACAGACTGATTAACACATTGTCATACACTGAACCAGTACTGCTAAATAAATATAAATAAATATAAATGTATTAAATGTTCATACTGGTGCAATAGCAATATTGTAATGCATCACTAATATCTGACTTGATTCATTGTTGGTTGTTGCAGAGAAGTATGGCCAGGATATGCTGCATGTTCTCCCTTGCAGGTACCTGTGTGATTTTGTATATTACTGCTCTCTTCAATACGGGCAGAGAAGGGCAGCACTCATCCACGTGCCCGTCTCAGGCAGCCTGACACACCCAGAGACGCTGGTGCCACAGCTCCAGGCCATCATCCAGGCCCTGTTATGCCAGCTGGACGCACATAGCATCAGCATGCAAAACCAAACAAGGCCACAAGAAGAAGAATGCACCGAAAGACATAACCAACATAATGATGTCCAGCAGGCGTCTTCAAAAACAATGAGGCCTAGAGTGTTAACCAGTTAAAACATCTGAATATATTCACAAAGATGCAATAAGCAAAGCTCAACACAGGCCTTCAGTCTCATTCACTTTTTTAATTCAAAAAATTTAAGAAAAAAAAAAGAAAATACATGAAAATTCTTCAGATACACATTAAGTCAATGGCATGTAAAAAGTATACCATCTGAACTAGAGGTGAGGAGAAAATAAAATAAAACGAGGAGGCCTCAGATACATAATTTACGAGAAGACAAGAGTACCAGCCAAGCCATTTTACCAAATCAGTTTCTACCAATCAATTCATTGACACAGATATATTTCTTTTTGCGAAAGGAAAAATGAAAAGCATTATCAATTAAAAACGTCTCAGTACAGTAGAACAAGGCCCCTTTTTCATTTTTTTCATTTTTTTTTTTCTTGGAATGCCAAGCAAAACAACAGTGCCTGGAAAATGATGTTTATAAAACCTCAAGCTCATTATTGCAATTAGAATGCATCGATGCATCTTCTCTAAACCTGAGGCTTTGCATTCTGAAGAAATACAATAAAATTAATAATATGATACTTGAGAAAAGAAAAATCAAACTCTTTCAGTCAATCTACCTTCAGGTTTTGCAAAGAACTGGCATTGCAACAAGCGCTATTTCTACTGTAAACGTATCTCTTTTAAAATTCTAGTCATGTTAACTCTGTCATGACTACCCGTAATCTACTGGACATCGTCGTCCTAGTTGTGTCTGTATATGTACTTTGTGTTTCTGTAGTAGATCTGTAACCTATGGTTAACTAAGGAACCTTGGCAGCATTCAATGAAAACTGACATTCACTTTGCAACAGGCCAATCCTTTTGTCCATTTCATTACAGAACAAAACAAACAGAAATAAATATCACTGATCTCTATGTTTTTCTCTTTATAAAGACATCAAAAATCTACATCACTACATCTACATGTGATACACTCCCATCCATATACATATGCAACAACACAAGCACAAGGCCTTTTAAAGAATGGTGATTTGGATTCCGTCTTGTGCCAGGCAGAACGCTATTCTTTATTTCTTTTTCGTTTTTTCTTTTCTTTTTTCCCCCAGCAACTTGATCTCCCAACCAGGTCTCCCTATCACTGGCCCCGTTTTCAGCCCTGGAATTCCTCTTACAGAAGATTACAACAAATTGAGAGTACAAGAACATTTCGTTAAGTGCCATGAAGCAGAACTTCCAGGGTTGGTAAGATTATGGGCCACAAAGTCCTTTGTATTCTTCCAAGGCCTTTACCGTATCACTTTGCAATGAATCTTGATTTACTTAGTATTTCAACACTCTGACCTCTTGACCACTCAGTAGATGTTTTGAAGAACCTTTCTGCTTAGACCTAACACCTGTCCAGTGCTTCGGACAGCCAGCTGTGATGGAGAGGCCTAAAAAAACGTAAAGAGTGAAGCAGCAATAATATGAGCAGCAGTAAAGAAGAGAGCGAGAGCGAGAGAGAGACACTAAACTACAATCCTGTCTCTCTCTCTCTCGCTCTCTTTGGAAAAGGATATAGTGTAGAGGATCATCTTAATGACGTTAGGCCCTTCGTGTAGGTGGTCATCAGAAACGTTTGGAGCAAACAGAAGAAAAAAATCAGAACAATGTTATAAAACAAGTCCACGCAGCGTGTAGAAACTTTCAGGTGTTTTCAGAATGCCAAATACTAAAGGTCAGGACACCAGTTTTCCAAAAGAGCACACTAGATCTTCTTAACTACATAGATAGTGTCACTACTTCTCTAGGGAGGGGTTTTCATTAAAGCAGGAAGTGAAGTGTACACCTCAAGATCACTCATAGGGTTATATTACAATATGATCATTATAGGCTTAGATCATTATGGTGTTAGACTGTTTTTCGGAAACTGGGTCCAGACCATTCAAATCTTTGGCTGGTCGATGGGTGTTAAGTGTGAGTGGCAAAGTGAAGGAATGACAAGGCAACAGCACTGAAAGTGCTAACACAGTGGTACTTTTTGGACAGCTAGAAGTGGGGCAGGTGTGATCAGTGCTACAATACATACTAGTCTGAAAGGGCTAATTCTGACTGTCACATTGTTATGACTGCTGCAGGCAGAAGGTGTGTGTCGGTGTAGAGTGATTGGGAGATGTTACAGCACATGCTCTCTGTCAAAGCTCGGACAGCTCAACAGACTGAGATGATGTTTACAGCACAAGAACCAGAAACTACACTTCTGGAAAGTTCCAGACCACAAAGTTTGAGCACGCATATGCGATGAGTTAAAGTACACAACTGCAGTTTCAGCCTTACACGGGTCATCCTTTTCAAACAGAAACGTGTTTGGTCTTCACTTGCTATCCCTTTACATTTCGGAGAACATTTGGGTTACAAACCCCAGATTAGCTGAGCGAATTTGTTTTGTATACATTTTATTTTAGACCGTAACAGGTCTGGATTGTGAAATGATAGGGCCTGTGTAAATAACCAATCTATGCCAAATAGTGGTTTTGTTGGCTTAAGCTTCATCTATACCCAAACTGTAATCCCTTAATAGTACTTCCCTGCCCGAGCTTTACAAATTCGTCAATTTTGTTTATGTAGTCATAACACTATTCGAATGAAACCATGCAAGCCAAACCCTCAAAGCCAGTTGCATTATGTGAGGATTCCTGGTTGTGGAAATCATTGTGTTTTTTGGAGTGGAAAGAGGATGGCTGGGCTGTGTCCCAAGTAGTGGATTCTTTGTTCTATGTATATTTCAGATATGCACTCATGTGGCCTTTTACATGCACACAGGTAATGGCTTTTTCATTAGGTAGAGCAGTATGATCCCTAGAGTGATTCGTCACTATTAATACAAGCTACAAGGAATTTCTGAAATATGCATAACTTGAAAACCTGAATGTCTTATTATGATTTTTGTACTGTATATTTAAACTGTAATGTTCATTAAATGTACCAAATTCAATTATCCATCACTCCGATCCTTCTCTAATATACTTTTTTGTATATTCAGAAAAGTGATGGTGAGAGAACTTCGGTGTCATAAGTAATGAAAAAAATGTGTGTGTGTGTGTGTGTGTGTGTGTATATATCTATACAGGGACACTGTAAGTGACTCAGCCCTCCTCTCTCCAGTCTTGTCTGAGAGCATGTGGTTTGTGATGCTGATGAGGTTTTTTTTTAATCCAGAGACCGTTAGGTTGTCCCCTACAGATATATGAGAAAATAGTGAGATGTATTCTATCCTTTTATACATGTACATATATTTAAAAAAAAGTGTGAGGTAGATAAATGCTTGAAGGAAATGAAAAAAAAGTCCCCCAGTCATGACACCATGGAAAATATATATATATATATATATATAAAAACTCATATACTTTATACTGAATCATTGGGCCATTTATACAGTGATTTAAACTGACATCACAAAAAATAAAATAGAATAAAATAAATAACCCTACAGAAAGGGGAAAATAGCCTTCTAAGAAGGGACAACTTATTCATGGGTGACATTTTGCGAAAGTACAAAGAGAAATCCTTCAAAAAAAAAAAAAATTTAAATTAATCAGTGAGACCTACTCAGTTTTCCCCCCGATCTCCTTGAAATGACATGACCACTACGCTAGCCTCTAACCCATCCTACTGTATTTGGTTTACAGATGTTCTGTGACTGATGTCTGCCCTCCTTGTGTGTGTCTATGGTGAGATGTGTACAGGAGAATGGAGCCTACGCCTTCCTATAGTTTGAGAAAGCTGGCGAGCAGTTGGGGTTCATAAGGCAAATTAAGACAACCCAGTTAGCCCTGTCAGTTGCTAAGCGATTACACAGATGGGTTAAAATACCAGATGAAATAAAAAAACAAACAAACAAACAAACAACAACAAAAGAAAGACAGAACATTTCATCATGAGTCCTGACTTGAGAATGAGGCACTGGGAGAAGCAGATAGTACTGTAGAAAGATTAAATGGGAGGCAGAGGAGCAAGAGAGGGCGCCATTAACACCAGAAGACAGAGTGAGAGATTACAAGGTGAAACTAAGACAAGAATGTCTGGAGAGAGCAAAACCCTAACTTTGACCTGAGATTGAGTTGCACCTGGGGGGGGCAAGAGTAGGTGCAGTACTAGACAACTGGTACAAGGGTGCTGAAACTACTCACGCACAGAGCTATGGTATTTTTTAACAACCTACACATATGTAGTAGTAGTAGTAATAATAATAATAGTAATACTAATAACAATAATTCAACATAAGCGAAAAATGATTGATTAAAAAAAACAGAAGGCAATGGACTGTATCTAGACAACCTCTCAGGGGAAGGGAAAAGTATGTTTTTGAATAAAGATTTTTCTTTTTTTGTTTTTTGTTTTTGTTTCTTTTTTGCTAGAAGAGTATAAAGCATAAGAAAATGGACTGTAGTGGAGATCATAAAATATTAAACCTGAAGGATTTCTTAATACATACATACATATATATATATATGTATGTATGTATATTTATATATACCATCCATAAAAGAAAAAAAGAATAAAATAGCAGCTTCTTTCTGTACAGACAAAGAAGTGAACATCAGAACCGTAAAAAAGTTATCAAAAGTGACACAAACCAATGATGTGTGTAAATGATCTGGTGGTCTAACATACAACTGTAAGACCTTTATAGAATTGTGTGAATTGTATAGAGACTAATGACTAGTCTTAAAAGATACCTGCTGTGTACAATGCCTCACTTTCCTTTGCAAACAAATGCTTGTCATTCCAAACAAATGTTGAAACCAGCTATCCCCCTACCCCACACTGTTTGCTTCATTTTCGAGCCAATCCCTTATGCTTCATATTTGGCTCAGCAGTCGGTGCATGTTTATTTGTCTTCGTTTGGTGCCACACTGTTCTCATTTCATTTGAAAAAACACCGTCAGAGCTGTCCATCTCTGTCCATTCTGCAGTGGACACGGCCATTTCACAGTCAAAATCAGAGCCATTCCAAAGGGGAGAGTAGACCAACTCCTTTACCAAGTTGATTGCAAATTATGACATAAAAAAATAAACAAATAAAAAAAGTGAAGCCAGTGTAAGAGCTTAGTTCCTTGATTGTAATCCTTTCTTGTCCAACTGAAAGAATTGTTGGGGAGCAAAGGAGAGAACATGAACATGATGATAAATACAAAAAAAGAAGCATTGATTTGGCAAACGTTTGGCAGTTTCAAAAAGGCCCATCCATCTTTTTATTGACGCATCTGAAATTTACTGAAAAAGACGGGTGGAGCAATGGTCAACATGACCAATCAGGTGAACGGTTCGAACACACAGAGGACCAACAGCAATCCTAGCAGTGGAGGTCCTCTCCACTCCTCCGTGGAAGAGAAATGTGATGATGAAGAAACAGTTCGGAGGAAGAGATGCGCAGCATGGCGAAGAATAATATGTGCATTTTTCTATAAAAACACACATACACTTTTCATGCATGCACACACAAAAAAACCTGTCATTTAAAATAAAAAGTGCTCAGGTGTTGGGCTTGCTGGCTGATATGCAAATTTCTCTTTAATATGACTCTCTGGCAGAGAATGTGCTATACCTGTTTAACTTCCTTTAGGAAAAAGATAAAAAAAAAAAACACAAATGAGGTGCCAGTTGCAGCTCCCCAGTGTGATGGTTAGGTGAGTGATCTTTAATATTGCCAGAGCGTTACGTTAGCTTTTTAGTGTCCTATGCACTTGGACTTCTCCCAAATCCTTTGCTGTGGTGAAATGAAGATAATAATCTGAATAATAATCATAAAAATAAGCAATCTACTGATTTACAGTAGCAATTTATTGTCTATCTGGTTATCAACTTGAGTTTGACTCTTCAGGTGAGAAAAAAAGTACATGTGACAACATAGACAAAAAGGGGGTGAGGGGATGATGAGTTACCCTGTATGAGGGGGGAAAGGGGTGCGGGGGGATGAATCAGCAGGCCGATGACTGGGGCAGCGGAAGCGCTCGCTCATTTTTACGGCCGCCGTTCATGTGCGCGTACGGCTGCGTGTCGTCGAAGGCCGGACCCAGTAGCACCACGGGCCCGTTGGCTGCTGCCTGTCCTGAGTGCTTGTCCAGGGCCACGCCCGGAGAAGTCGTGGAGGAAGGGGGGGAGGTGGAGGGGGTGGGGCCCGCGGCCAGCGGAGTCCCTGGGGCAATGGGCTGGGCCGCCTGGGAGGAGGCTGGGGCCAAGGTGGAAGCAGGGTCCAGCGGAACGTTTTCCATGTTCTCTACCTCCATGTCCAGCTCCTCGGTGTCAGGGGGCTTGTTCTCCTCACTGTAGAAGAAGCTCACCTCCCGGAAGGACGGCTCCAGCTCCTCCTTTATGCTGCTGATGATCTCCAGGAAGGAGGGTCGCATCTTGGGGTTGTACTGCCAGCACATCCGCATCAGCTCGAAACTGAGGAGCAGGCCCAAAGTTTTAGAAAATGCTAGAAACGAGGCTCCATACACACAATATCAGACATTCAATGGGCCTTATTCACCAATATCGGCCTAAGTTTTTCTTAAATTTGTTCTTGAGAAAGGTTCTAAGAAAAAGTCTCAAAGTCTCAAAAATCTCAAATAGGAAAACATCGGTGAATGCCAGAATCTTCATGAAAACTGTGTAAGTGGGTTTTAAGAAGAAACTTCTTGTTAAGAATGGTTGGCGAATAAGGCCCAATGTTCATTCAACGTCTGGTTCAAAATATTCAGAGAGCCCTGTCTACATAAAACAACCTTTAAATAGCCTATATAATAAAAAAAATCACATTTTTCTTTCCTTTAATGGAAACATTTTTTCAATTTGTGTCATTCATTCCCCAGTCCATCAACTCCAAATACAAAAACTAAGCTGCTAAAGCATGCTGTTTTGAATTTCTCATGGTTGTGATGTGGCAGCCACAAACACATTTACATATGACCACTCGTTCAGCCCACAGCAGTTTAGTTTAAGTGGTATTCACGCTGTGACTGCAGACAATCTGTAGCTGTTATTGATGTGGAAGATGTAGGGAAAATGACTGAATGTACTTGGCTGTTGGGAATCAAACGCCGCAGCCTTCCAAAAGATCCTAAAGTAGTGGCTGAAGTTTTTTCAGACATTTTTCAGGAGCTTAATTTATGTAGCGCCTTTCTAAACCCAGAATAATTTTAACCACAGACATACATGAACACAAATCAAGAGAAGAAAAACACACACAGTTCACTTACTGCTAAAGAGGTTAGCTTGTTGACAACTGAGAGAATGTGACTCAGTCCAGAAGAGACTTTCACTGTGGCTACAGAATTGGCATTACAGAGAAACCTTTTATTTCTATAAGGTTACGTTAATAAAATGCAGACATATTACTGCAGTAGCTTAGCGTCAAAAACATCCTGCTCTTCCAGAGTACGATAACCGCATCATCCAATGTTCCAACTGAATCCAATTCGAAATATTGGTCAAATCTAAACATCTGTTCGATGCCAATAATTTTTTAAGCAACTATCTGCCAATGTGATTCCAGTATCATCGTGCATACCTTGTCTAAAGGATTTCAATCTGAACTGAACAGTTTGTTCAATACATTGCAACCCTAGACTGCTTTTTAATGGGGCACTATACAGGGCAGTCAATCAGAACAGAGATCAGTATCATATATCAGTATTAAAGGCACAATAACAAAAAACACATGTTTAATACTAAGGGATAAAGAGAGTTTGGAAAATACTTATGTTCAAATGAATTACAGCTGTTTTTGGTACATAAAACTACAAAAACTTTAAAAGGACTTTAGGAGGAAAAATTAAATACAAGAGAAATGTAGACCATGGACCCCTTAAATATCAACAACAGCACTGTGTGATGTGACTGACACAGGTTGATCAACAGGTGGCAGTGTTCACCAGAGCCAAGCCAGAGCACCTGGAAACATCACTGAGCAGAGAGCTTCCAGAACATTCTGCAGTCATGCACATAAGATACACAACATGTACTGTAATATTTAACCGTCATGAAATATGAGACAGCCGAGTCGGTAGATCCAATCATGGCAAGACACTGGTGGGGGGGGGCAGAAAAAAAAAAACGAAAACAACTTCAAAACAACATCAGAAAACCCAGGATCATTATAGCTCGATGCTGCACTCACCACATCTTAGACAAACAAGCTAAGAATACCCTTCGCACTGGCTGGCTCACTGAAATAAATGCCTATGGGTCAGCTCTGCCTGCCTGGAGTAACAGCCCTCTCCAGCCTTGCTAAGACATTCCAGGGCACGCGCCTCATGTCAAGCTCTGCACCATAACAGGGGAGGCTTCTTTTTCGGGACCCACATTGAGGGCCCTTGGAAAAGTTGATTATGCCAGTGGTTTAAAGCGGGCTCCGCGGCCTCCCCTGAAAAATGACAGTAATGGTTGGACACGGGCCGGCGCTCGCGAGTAACCTGTCCTGTCTGGCCTTTGCTGGGCTCGCACTTTTCTTTATGGGGGCCATCTGGCTGATGTCAAATCAAAAAACGGCAGGTAATAAATGCCTGTCAGTGCCCGCTCACTGTCAGCCGGCCTTAATCACACACACATGAAGGCAGCAAGTCTCTGTGGGCAAAACGGGGCTGGTAAAGAGGTCACTGGAGATCACAGGTCATAGTCCTGTTTTTAGAGCAGTAGGCCGGGTTCTGGTGTCAAATCCTTTCTCATATTTGAGCATGCGGTCACCGATATGCCCTTGGTCTCAGAGGAATTGAGATGGTACAGTCTGTGGTAGAAGAGGCAAAGTTAAAGGTGTTAAAGATGTCTGGTACTCATCTGATATTTTGCTTTAAAAGCTACTGAGGTTTTAAAGGAGCTATTTTTAACTTGATGGGATGTTATTGCACAAAATTGTTATGAATACATTGCCTGATGTCTCAGGTTGTTTTATGTTTTTTGACACTTTATTTAACGCAGGCATTTTCTCCCCAAAACATTCATGCACAATTACTGTTTATTTGCAGAGTTTAACATATTGGCAAAACAAAAATTGGGTCGTGTGCAAAAGTTTTGGGACATTTTATACTTGATGTTTTTTTTGGGCTATATGTTAACTCAGCACATAAACAGAAACTGTGGACTAAAATTTGAAGAAAAATGTGATATTTAGGTTTGTTCCTTGGAGAGGATAGATTAACTTTTGTATGTGATTGTAGATGCAAGGTGAAATAGTACCCAGTGGAAAACATCTTCATATTTACCACTAATTTAATTAAAATAAATAAATCGGGGTGGTTAGATACTGATACCTTGAGTATCGTCCGACACCGATACTAGATATCCGATATTTTTTCTCTGAAAGCTGCTAAGCTTTATAATAAGCTAAACTGAAGCATTTTACTTAAGATGAGCATCTAGAAGTAGTCTATCACACTCACACTACTCAAACACTCTACTACCCCACATGAGGACACACACAGCAAACAACATCACAGAGCGTGAGTGTGTGTTACTTCAGGATAGATTTGTTACAGGACTGAATCAGATTCATTATGTTTTTCCTTCTAATATCCGATTCCGTTTTTTCCGCTGGTATTGCCACATATTGATACCTTGTATTAGATCAGTGTCCGTTTTAGCTTCAAGCATTTCTGGGCATTTCAGGCTAAAATCGATCTACTTTTGTTTAAAGATTACCTTTTTGTTCTGATATCTTATTTGTTGTGTTCTGCTGGTATTGATGTTAATAACGGCATCAGTGCCATCTTTAGCTACAGTCAGTCAGGTTTGTAATAGGGATGGGCATTTTGGTTAAATTTGATATTAGAATTTAAGGCGTTATTAAAAAAATATTCAAATAATAACACCAACCTATCACCCTCCACACACCCCGCCAAAACCAACCAGACAAACAAACAAACAAAAAAGTACTCTTAAGGCTAGTCACTCTTAAAGATGCCACAGTGTTGCTGACGTATCATTGCTAGGTTGACAGTGGTCCAGCACCCAAAAATATCCAACCAACACGGGCCCTGTAGCCAGAAACTGGCCAACAATGAAGGGCTTAAAGATGGCTAAAACAAACCGTAAAAGGAAAAAGATGAGCTAACACTTAAAAGGTGTACCAACAATATAGGTCCAGCAGGTGTCAGCTACAAAGCGTGTAAAAACCCAGCAACACTGCTGTGCCTGACACACTTGTACCAGCATCACACACACACTACCATGTCAGTGTTACTGCTGCACTTAGAATGGACCACCACCCAAAACAGCAGTGCTGGGCCAGAGACTAACCGATGATGAATGGAGCAGAGGTGGCTGATACTATACAGTCTGTAACTATACACCTACATAGTGGAGCTATAAGGTAGGAGGACCTAATAAAATGGACAGCTTGTGTAGATACAAGGTAGGTGTTATCATCTGGTAATTCTGTATATAAACATTTACAAATAATCAAAATGGCCTCATACAACACTAAACAACCACCCATTAAGTGTGCTAAGAATAGGGACGATTTCTGGGAAACTCAAACTATTAGAACTCAATTTTTCTAATAAGAGTGGTACTGGATTCTCCAAGACAGCACAGACTCTTGGTATGTTTTGTTTTGCGTGTATGTGAGTGTGTGAGAGAGAGAGAGCTGGTATTTAAAATCTTGATGGTGATTTGTTGAGATATTGGCCTGTTTTATCACTTCATGAGAAATGATCGAATTGTGGTCAAGTTTCTCATGAAAATATGCAAAATCTGCAAAAAGAAGTAACCCTATTGGACCAAAGACTTCAATAAAAAAAAAATTCAATAAAAAATAAGACACTGTAGCCAAACTGACCGATTTCTATTTCGTTTTCAGATTTGTGCTCAGAGAAGCTCTAAGAACCGCTGTAGTAAAGGAAATTAAAAAAAATCCAGTAGGGACAAAACAGATAAGAAACAGATAAGAAACTCTGACCTAAACACAAGATGCAGGCTTTACACTGCCCTCTGGTGGAGCAAACAGTTAAGACATCTCATGGTAATTCAGAGAGCGTATAACGTAAGCTAATGTGCGTATCAACATTCTAATTCACTATTCAGATTTTTACACTTTCATAACTTTTCAAATATTGTACGATTCTCACCTGTACCTAGTTTGTTACTTTGTGGCTCTTTATTTGGAAGAACAGGGCTTTACGGTGCAGTTCAGCATATGTTCAGCCCTGCTGCGCACACATGCCCATGGAAGCAAGACACCCTGGTGGGGCTACTATGGAAACGATGGTTTGTCTGAACAACAGTGGTCCTGGTCTGTAAAGTGAGGTCACCACTGCATCGTGGGTGTGTGTGAGGGTAGTGTGTGAGCGGAGGGAAAGACCTCATGCCTGTTCACTCACACCGGTCCAGAAAAGGAGAAAGGCACGGTGCGGCCGCTCTGTGAAGCACACATCAACACTCTCACTCACACAGGCGTGTGCACACACACACTCACAGGGGAACATGTTCCCGGTGACTGGCGCTAATTGTCTGGTTTGTTGAGCCCATCTGGAGCAGGCAGGCCAGACACTGATCTGGCTGAGGGAATGACAGGCATCTCTCACCCACTGGCCATGGCATCCCTTCTATGGGCTTCGGCTTACTGCGGAGAAGGAAGCACCCAGACACCGTGAGCTCACCCAGCTCCTTTTAACCTGTGACGTTAATGTCACCGGTCAGGCTCCACACTGCCATGCACACCTGCTGATGTAATATCTGCATTCAAGCTTAGAACTGCTTCTGTAAATAGACTCAGAGCAGGGCAGGATGCAGAAGGGTTAACCTAAGCCTAAAGGAGGTGGGAGAGTCTTTAAGGCCATCAGCACAAACAGGGATTCTACACTTTGGAATACTCCTTTCCAAAATGCAAACACTGCAAATTATAAATGAAAGCTATGGCTGGTTGTGGTTACGTAAATGAGATCATGCTGAATGACTTCCATTTCATATTAACATTTTTAGGTGTACTCTGTAGTTTGCATTTATTTGTCCAATTATAATATAATCCACAGATGCATGATATTAAAGACCCATAATCATCTTTATTCATTTTTACCTTACCATTTTCCAACATCTATCCCTTAGAATTAAACAGGCTGTTTTTGTTACTGTGCCTTTAATAGTGATACATGTAAGTGTCATCTCTTCTGATTGGCTGCCTCATTCTAAAAACAGTTCGGAGCCGAAACGCATGGAGTAAATTCTGAACTTTAAACTGAATATCCTTAGAATGTCCGCAGAAACTTCAGCCACTTCTTATAGCCTTTGGATCTTTGGATACTTGAAAGGCTGCAATGATAGATTTGCTAGCTGACAGCCAGGAACAGAACAACTTTTGGGGATTTTCAGATTGTATGCAGTAAAAACACTCCATATTGCTTCAGTGTGCTTAGATGGGCTAAACTGCTGTAGGCTGAATGAACAGTAACATGTAAATTTGTTCTTGGTTGTGGCATCACAACCACAAAGAATTCAAAATGAGCTGTTTTTTGCAGCTTGGTTTCCATATATGGACTGTATGGACTGGGGAGTGAGTGGTGTGTTTTGAAATTTTAACAATGCTTGTACAGTACATCAAACCTTTTATTTAAATACATGGAAAGGACATTTTGTTTTCTAAGATATGGCCCATTTAAAGCGGTCTAAGAAACGCCTGCATGTGTTGTGTCTTCCGAACTAACATGTCAGAACAGTTTTTGGTCCGAGGCAGAGAGAAAAGGACTCACAGCATGTCTGGGCAATTGTCCGGCTTATCCAGGAGTCCTCCCTCCATGACGAAGCGCAATACCTGCTCGTTGGACATGCCCTGGTAAGGCTGCTCTGCAAGGGTAGCTATCTCCCACAACACTACCCCGAATGACCTAGAGAGAGAGGGGAAGAGGGGACAGGCGGAGTTAGATGCAACACACATGTCTATCAGCATCCACATCCTGGTAAATGTCACAACAGCCTGTCTCTGTGCTTACGCCACCAGCTCTTCATACGGACCTGGCGTAACTCGATTGACTTGGACGGAACGAAAACAAGGCCATCCGAGGACAGCACCGCGTCCTGTCCCACAATATGAGCTGCTTCCAGACAATGGCAGTCTAGTGGAGGCTAAAAGCTATAGTAGCCCACAACAGGCAGCCCTCTCAGCCTTTACTGTTCAAGTGTGTTTTCAATCCTCTAACAACAAAACAATATAGTGCATTTTCATACTCAAGCTGAATACAAACACAACCACAGCTGCAAAGCTGAAGTACTACTATATTTATTTTGGTGCTGTGTTTTTGTTGGCCATGTGTTCCTCATTAATGCAAACGAGTCTATACGTCCTCCGGCGGCCGGCAAGAGGGAGCGACAGAGGAGCAGAAAGGCCTACACGAGTCCCTCGTAAAAACAAAACACACACACAGAGAAAAAAAAGAGAAGCGCACAAAGCGCTCACTGTTGCCAGTCATTATTCATTAACTCTCCGAGGACACATTTTCCGCGCTGGCCTAGGATCAGAGACACAGCTCCATAGCCCTTAAAGCGGGCCTGTTACAACAGTGACTTGTATCTAATTGGCTGCAACAGCAGTGTGTTGAAAGACAAAACCACAGCAAAGCAGGGGAGGTTTTCTTGAAAAAAAGGAAAAAAGGAAGGAACAAATGAAGACACCTAACGGTGAGTTTTATGGGCGTTCGGGACGGGAGCTCTCGTCGGCTCTTTTCATCCGGAGCACTTCAAAAGCGGCTTATCCGGAGAGGGGACGGGGCTGGCACCCGCGAGCCCGTCATTAGTGAACATCTGGAGGAGGTTAGCAGCGCACCGCGGCACCGAGCTGGTGGGACGCTCGCGATTGGGAAACCACACAAAATAAAGGAGCGGGTCCGCGGCAGTATTTCTCCATTTGACTAAGTTATTGCTGCGGCGGCCCTGGGCTCAGGCAACACAGTGGAGAGACATGGAGTCTGAGCGAGAGAGAGAGACAATGAGTTGGGCAAGTTTCGACCGGCTGGGGTTTGGACAATGATGTAGTATCTTTCTACATGGGACATAAGAGGGGGGAAAAAACAACACATAAAATTTTTATCACCTCATGGGAGCCTGTGAGGCTTCCCGTGGCTGCCTGAGTTAAGAAAACACAGAGAAGCTGCTAGAGGATTCGAGCTCTTGAGTTTCTGTTGAAAAGTAGTTAGGCGAGTGAAGAGGGATGTGTCATTTCAGCTGCTGAGCTTGATTCCGGTCTCCGCTGCAGGCAGCAGCACAGGCATGCACTCACACACTCTGATGGGTGGCAGCAGAACCACCCACTGTGTAGTGCATGCAAATGTGTTTGAAAGCCACTGAGGACACATTGCTCCTACCAGACATCAGAGTTGGTGGTGAAAACGCCATCTTTCAGAGACTCAGGGGACATCCAGCGGACCGGCAGTAGCCCTTTGCCTCCTTTCCGATAGTAGTCCGTCTCGTAGATGTCTCGCGTCATGCCAAAGTCTGGATAAAGTACGGATAAAGTAAGAGGAAAGTACAGATGAGATAAATGAGGGGATGCTGCACAGTAGAACTGCTCCTTTCACCACCTTCCTTCAAAGCTTGTCCCAGTAAGATTTATAAGGTTCTTTTCTCTGTGCTTCTCCAGTGTTTCTAAATACTTTATTTACACTGGAACAGTGCCTTTGGAGTGTTTATAAGTAGAGATGCACCAGTACCACTTTTTCCCTTCTGATACAGATACTGGAAGTATCAGCTGATACTGAGTACTGATACTAGCCTATAAATCCTGATAATTTACACAATTACACTTTTTGCTATGCTAAAGCCTAAACTGAGGCTAAAAGCTATCATTATCCCAAGAAACTGGCAATTCCATCCATATGTCTCTCTATTGTTTGCTCCCTTAATAACAACCTGGTCTAACATTAACTCTTGATTGCTAGCGACTAAATAGCAGCAGATGAGGGATTACTAAAAGAAGCCTGAGTCAACCATTCAGGTAAAGGGCTGCCGTTAGCATGTTTTGCATTGTATGTACAGTGTGTTGTCTGGCTTATTTGTGGAATACAGATTAAACTAATGCCTTAGGAACAACTTCAACTAGTGTATCACCCACTATTACAGAAGATTTTATACAGATTTTGCTCTTAGCATTTTAACTACTGCTTGTCAACCCAAACCGCCAACATGTTGCTCACTTTAATGAAGTTACACCTACTGTCAGAAATTGCCAATACAGATCCTGCATTTAAGTATCGGTATCGGAGTCAATACTGATACATTATTGGTGCAACCCTATGAATAAGCATTAATCACCTCCGATCTTGACGGTGAAGTCCTCGGCCACCATGCAGTTCCTGGCAGCCAGGTCCCGGTGGACGAATTTGTTGGCATTGAGGTATGCCATGCCGTCTGAGATTTCCCCGGCCATCTGAATCATCTTCTTCAGTGATGGCAGGTGTTGGCTACATGACCCTTGCTGCAGAACCAGAGGGGAAGGTGTCAAATTTTTACAATGCCTTTGCTCTCTTTCTCTATTTTACTACATCTCCCATGGTGTCTTTGTTCCTGAACTGAGCAGAGCAGTCTGGGAAAAACATCACATGACTCAGTGAGAGAGAGAGAGAGAGAGAGAGAGAGAGAGAGAGAGAGAGAGAGATTTACAATTTACAATTTAGGCTAATGCTGTTTAGAATGTTCTGCACAGGGATAGTCCATATACATGGAATTAGAGAATTCTATGAACTAGACAGAAATGTCAACCAGGGAGGAATATTGGCCCATGCGATTTAGGATGCTTTTAGTTTACACGGCGATACAGTACAGTACTTCTAGAGAGATATATACAGACTGTGGCTGAATTTGCACTTAAATGGGACACTGAGACTTCACGTGTGACTATGATAAAATGCATAAGGGACAGAGCTACTAAACGTCAGGGGTCATCAATTACATATGGCCTGGTACCAAGTATTTTGGTTTAGGGGATGCCGGACTGAGTATAACATTTTTTGGACAAAACTTTTTAAATGTCCATATTTATTTACAAAAGGTAGTTCTTCAGATACAATCAATATCTTATTTTTTATTTAGTAGCCTAAATACTTCCATCCTCACTTGCCAACATCACAAAAATGTGCTGGCATCAGTTCATATCACTGATGCCTGTTCATGGCCTGCTGCACTGTGACTGGTGGAAAATAACTCGTCATTTTTCTACCAACGAAAACTTGAATTAATGTAAGCCAGAGGTGTTCAATTTTATCCATAAAAGGTCAGCGTAGCTGCACGTTTTCATTCTGAATGAATAGAACCTGTTTAATTCAACCAACTGATCTGTTTAATTTAACCAACTGATATCTGATGTTCTCCTGCTTTGCTGGAATTAAAACCTGCAGCCATACCAGCCCTTTGTGGAGGACTGAACTCTCCTGCTGTAAGCTAACACAATGACTTTGTCCAAAACTATGAGACAGAAAGTTGACTCAGATGACTCATTTTTACACGAAGAATGGACAAACAGACACATTATGCCAGCTTTCATCAATGTTAAATTACTGTTTCTCATTTTAAACATTATGCTTCTCACACACCATCATTTGAGTTTAAAGAGCTGTATAGTTTAAACTCACTTTTGAAATAAATCCCTGATTTATGTGGTTGTTCAAAATCATTTTCAAATTTGAATATAGGGAGACCTGAGAGCTAAAATATTTTTCCCCCCGCAGCCTGATTTGACCTGCAGGGTGCTAGCTGATGCACCTTCATGTACATCTATAGAGTGAATAGCTAATGGAACAGATTAACATTAGTGTTGTAAGTTTCAGTGCCTGTTTGGAGCGGAGGGAGCGCAGGTAGCTCTTCAGGTCCCCTCGTGTCATCAGCTCCATGATCACCAGAGTGGGCTGACCTTGTGAAACCACGCCAAGCAGCCGCACCTTGAATAAAGAGGGAACAGAACAGGTTGAGCACACACTCCACTGGTTTAGTCCTCAACATCAGAGCCCAAAGAATATGAACCCCAAAGGCAGGGTCAAAATCAGTTTCTCCTCACACCTTGCCTGGTTGGGCAAGTGGACTGAAAGTTTGCCATTCCAAACAGAGTTTATTGTGTATCAAAAAGAAATAAGTATTTTCACACTAATCTGTAGAACAATTAATCAATTCTATATATATATATATGGCTTTGCTATTTTTTAATGCTTTTCTCTTTTCTATTTTCCGTTTGTTCTCTTACCCTGCATTTTATAGCCTTCCCCCTTGTAAAGCACATTGAGCTGTATTCAGTACACGTAGGATGATTTTTTAAGAATCTTCTGTACTATTACTTGGAACTGTTATGGTATACAGTCGTCATATACACATGTTCAGTGGTTCTGATGAGATAGCAGCCTTCTTCACTGACATTCATCTTATACTGGTTTCTATCAGTGATAATGCAGACAAAGAATGACCCAGTTTTGGTAAAACCTAAAAACTGTGCAAAACATCTGCAGTATGGGTGGGTCAAAATCAAGTATGGAAACATTTTTCCATGACAAAATAAAAGATTCTGACTCATTTGGCCTCTTTCTTCTGCTTTGCCAACATTTTGAATCACACATCATTACATTGATTAATTGGGCAGATTTAATTTGATACACTACTGGATTAGACCATTTTTTCCTGTGGTGGGGAGGTGTTTGTGTATTAAACTGAATCAAGACAAAATCAAGTATGTTGTTCATTGAATGGATGGTTCCCTAAAAAAAGTCGGAACTATCCCATTGCTAAACTTACCCTCTGTCTCTACAAAGCTTTGCTTTGTTGAAGTGCAGTATTCAGCATAAATCTTCAGTTTGCTACATCACTTACTGTAAGAGAACTGTCCATTTTTATCAACTAGTTTATCAACTATAAACAGCTAGTTGAGTTTTTTTTCTTATTTCTTACCACATGGTGACAATTGAACTCTTTCATGACGGAGGCTTCATTGAGGAACTCTATGCGTTCGCGCATGCTGGCTGACTCATTGACCGTCTTGATGGCCACCCTGGTCTCAGGTTCATCCTTGACAACACCTTTGGCAATGCCTTCATACACCATGCCAAAGGAACCCTGACCCAGCTCTCGACACAAAGTAATCTTCTCCCGTGCCACTTCCCACTCATCTGGTACGTACACTAGGAACAAAAAAAGAAATACAAATTAAAACTCTTTACTATTACTGGTAAAGCTAACTGACTGTACTTCCATTCTCACTCATTTTATCATAAATGTTAACCTTTCACTAGATATCTTTATGCCTTTGATGTCAAATGTGCAAATTTAAAGCAGTACTTACTCTCTGCTGCACTGAAGTACTCAGGGTTCACAGAGGCATATAGAACCCCATTCCCCAATCTATCACTGTGCCTAGGGAAGGTGAGATGAAACATCAGCATTTCATCAACAATACAGTAAAGTCATTGCAATGTTGAAGGTTCAGAAATTGGACATACCTCTTCTTTTTAACAATGATGATGGTGCTGATGAGGCCAATAAGCGCGATCAGCACTATGATGGGGACAGTGATGGCTAGATAGAGCATGTTCTCATAGGCTTCTGTCGAGATCAATAAAACAACTGTATTATTAATGATTTATAACTACACCTACAACTTCACTAAATCACAAATACCAGTGTCTTGCAAAGGGTCACCACTACCAGTCAGCAATGCGCTCTCCGGTTCTTAAATTCAGTAATGGAGGTCACATTGTGTAGTATGTATGGGTTCCTTACGGTGAGGTGGAGGAACGTAGAAGGACACTGGCTCGGTCCAGGAGCCATTGCCAGCCAGTGAGGTAGCCCTCACTCGGGCCGAGTAATTGCCAAAACCCAAGTTGGTCAATCTTGTTCCTCTCAGCTCCCGGTACTGCTGACGTGACACGCACTCGTGCTTCTCAGGCTGAACATACACAAAAAAATCTGTCAGTCTGCATTAAAATGCATAAAAACTGCATAAACTGCATAAAAATACAGCGTGAGGCATCAACCTGAGGGTGGAGTTTAAAATGCATCGTTTTAGGAACATGAGAATTGATTGTAGTCAATATCCGTAAAATATGCACTCCTATTTTGGTAAAAATAAAATTCTCAAGCTATTTTCGAATTCTTATCCAACAATTTCTGATGTATTTCTATATTCCACTTTTCTCTAAACAGTTACTCAGTTCATATTTGTATATTTAATATATTAACAATAATAGTGATAACTATAGTAACCCCCCCCACACGCGCACACACACAACATTATCTAAGGTATTATTAGTATTATTATAATAATAATACCAAGTTAAAACAAACTGAACCGAATTGTGGTGCAAATTAAAATAAATTGTTGTGAAGTTGTCAGCAGTGTGTGGGGGATGCAGTGCTGGTTCTCACCTCTGTTCCCTGACGATACTTGATTTCATACATAAGAATGAGTCCGCTGGGTCGAGGGGGTTCAGGCCACCTCAGCACAACCATGTCCTCTGCCCTCTCATCCTTCTCATGAGTCACTGGGCCGGGAATATCGTCTGCTTTTTCTGGAAGAGGACAAAGCACTGCTGAAAAGACACCCTCTCTTAACAAAAAAAAAAAACAAAACAAAAAAAACAATACTCCAAAACTCCTTCTGCTGATACACAGGTCCACAATCCAGTTGTGGAGAATCCAGCCAGTCCAGGAACAGGTTCTGTTCCAGCTCACAATACAGCTGCTCTTAATTCCATTTCTTATTTTCATTGCCTTCCCTTCCACCCACCCGAACTCCAGTCTGTCTCTGAACTCGTTGTCCGCTTCATCTGCTTCATTTGTGTAACACAAGAGTTCACTTGATGATGAAAGAATAAGTGTAATAAGCTTAAAAATGAAATTGACTATCACCCTTGACTACATGAACATGGAGTTGGCCAACTGATAACAGCCAGGGTAACTATTAGGCTGCTCTGATATCAAAGTTAACATTAGATAAAATTAAGTACTGTTTACTTTAGTTTCAAGAGATTGTGGGTTAGTAAAATTATTTGCAATCAGCATGTACAGACAACAATATGTGATAAGATGATTACAAATAACTCTCTAATGTTTTTTAAAAGTATACCTTCTGTGATTTATAGGAGACACACACAACCACAGAGTTATGAGTTAGTCTGAAGTAGGGTAATCATGATACATGGTACATATCACATTATTCTGACACAGACACAATGCACTTATAGCAACACATTCAAAAACTGCCATCAAGAACATTAAAACAAGCATTAAAACAAGATTAATTATGCTCTTTTTTCATGAAACATGCAGTTGGTCAGTGTTGTTTCAGTACTGATGACCTTCACAATATGCTTATAAAAGCATACTGTTTATCACAATAACAAAATGTATCACAACAGCTATGAAGCTTCATCATATTGCACATCTCTAGTTTAAAGTCTAGCTTTGTAGACTCAGATCAAACTGAGGGTCACTGATTAGCTGGCTGAAGTGTTTTAGAAAGTTAGAACAGAATAAAACATGGACAGTTTAGGGTCTGTTAAGGCTGACTTGAAGACTCACTGGGTTCTTAAAAGCCTAGAACTCTACAACTAGACCACAGTGTGACCGTATGGTGAAAGGAGTACGGCTGTCATCAGTGTGTGATTGGTTCTGCCTGAGTTCATTCTGCAGCTCCATTTGGAGTGTGTGGGCTGTGGTGGGCTCACCTGCAGGTTTGGTCCGGGAAAAGACGAAAGCAGCGGCGCTGCAGCGCTCAACCTCATGGTTGCAGGCGTGGATGTCGATGCGGTAGACGGTGAATGGCTGCAGGTTCACAATCTCCATGAACTCAGTGTACACTGTGGTCTCTGAGAACGGATACACACGCTCCACAAGCTCCGGGTCAGTCATGTTGCCATCCTGCATGGTTACATTCTGGCCCAAACCACGCACTAATGTGCCATTAGCCACCCCGAACAGATCCCTACGACGTCTGTCTGGAGGCCTAAGGGACAGACAACAGAGAAACAGTGAAGAAGAGAAGAGAGACACTGAAGAAGAGAAGAGAAGAGAAGAGGAAAAGGGAAATAAGAAGAGAAAATAGAATAGAAAAACGGAGTAGAAGAAGAGAAACAAGAAACCGGAAGAAAGAAAAAGAGAAGTAGAAAAAGAGAAGGAGAAAAAGAGATGGAAAGGAGATGAGATGGAAAGGAGATGAGGGAGGAGAAGAGAAAGAAGGATAAACAAAAGAGAAAGATGAGTGAAGAAAGAATAGAATGTGAAGGAGAATGAGAGAAGACAATAGGAAAAAAAGGAAAAGACAAGAAAAAGTGAACAGAAAGTCAGGAGAAGAGAAGAGAAGAGAAGAGAAGAGAAGAGAAGAGAAGAGAAGAGAAGAGAAAGGAGGGTCTCACCAGAGAAAGAGATTGTGAATCATAGAAATGAAAGTGAAAGAAAGGAAAAGGACAGTGTAGAAGTTAGCCAGCGTATTCCAGCGCACTCTTCACAGGGCCTTCTAAAGCACACAAGCTGTAAACTGTACAACAAGCACAACTTTCAACATTTAGTCACACAGGGCCAAAGCACCACCCTGTGCAGCACCTGCTTCTAACACAGCCCTGCTCCTCATCTGATGACCTATGAGATCCATATTCCATAGAAATACTAAAACCTATTATTCACTAAACTTATGATGTACTGTTTAAATTTATGGCTCCCACAACACTAGCTTGGTGGTTCCCTAGTGGAACTGTGAAATGCTCTGATGCTGAAACAGCTGACATATCAAAACTGTTAATGTTCTCAACCCAACCCCAACGAATCTTACTCTCTGTCTCATGTGGAACAGCATTCATTTAGACCACCCTGCTGTAAAAAACACAGCCACTGTTAGATGCAAATAAATATGTTTCAAGTTCATTAAGCTTAGCATAATATTCATCACTTTGAGGCATACAATGCATACAGTGACAGTCTGTGACTATTAACTTCTAATATGCATCATGTTAATAAAATAAACAGTACTGCTGTTGTCTACACTTACTATACAAAAAACTAATACAAAAGAAGTAGACAGAAATTCCCTTGAACTTGCAAAGCTTGCTTTATGCAGCTGCTACAATGAATATGGAATGGCGTACTGGAAAAAAAGTACAAGTTACAACGAAGCCACAGTTTATGAAATGGTTGTCTACTCTTTCCCCTCACAGAGAGGAGTGTATGTGTAATGATGATGATGAAGCGTAAGGCGGTGCCCTCGGGTCAAGGCCGAGAACATGCATGCGACAGCAACGACTGCGCTTTACCAGACGCTAACGTAGCCACTGCCACTCCACAGATGCAGTCAAAGCGCAGCGGCCGTGGCCTTACCTAGCGCCATCTTTAGGTGACACGTACCGATTCGCTCGCTCAGGGTCTCTGCAAAGATTCAATAGTCAGACCCTACAGTGGGAGTGTACTCCAGAGATGGAAAAGACAAGATGATGTGGATGGTTCTGTGGAGATGAGGCTGACCAAAGGTCCACACGAATACAATAATAGAGAGAATAACACAGAATGTGAACATGGGGGACGGACAGGTATAGAATACGAAGAGTTACAGTGACGACGGACAAAAATATTCTTTGGCTTTTGATCCGTGGGAATGAGGAAGGATAAACATTACTTATTCCTGAGATAAGTTCTTGTTAACCCTCCACAGAATTCAAGAGCATTTGCGTGTGCAGGCCAACACAGAAACAATACAGGGAAGAGAGTAAGTTCTGGCAGCAATGTTTACAATTCAAAATCCAACAGTTAGAGCACAAATGTTCAGTAAATTAAAGCAGTAGTTCCCAACCTTAGTACTGAAGCACTTCTGACCAGCAGATATTTTTATATTATTACTTTTTTTCTATTTGTCACTGCTTTTCAGGGATTGTTATTTAGTTGATTCATTAGATCAAGCAGGGAAACAAAAATGTGCATAGGAGGTGTGCTCCAGAACCAGGGCTGGGAATCACTTAAAGGTAAGAGGTAAGGCACAATATATTGGCAGGCTATTGTTAGCTGATACAAAAAAAATAATTACCATTATTGGCCCAATATTGGAATCGAGGCTGATCATCACAACTGATAATTGCACATCACTCACCTGTGGTAGAAATTTTCCTTCTTTTTAACATTCACACAAATAGATAGCAGAGTGGATAAAACCACAGCCCAACCCACAGGAGAGCATGGTTCAATCCCCCTCCCAGGCAGGCATACCACTACTTTATAATACCTTATTTGGATTTATAATTAGAGATATTTTTGTGGATTCCTAACATTTACAGTTATATTTAACTAAATAGAGTTATGAAATAACTGACGTTTAGAAAGAAGATTATGCCTGAAGCTTCTCCTCCTCCCAATTTAACATCCTACAAATTTCCACCTCTACCTTCTGTTTCCTGTAACAAAGTTTTCGCACTCCACCACCACCCACCCATCTCCTCCATGTTCATCAGTTCTGCCTCTCAGCCCTACTCGGGTCATCAAAGCAGCCCTCTAGCTTGAAGCAGAAGCTTGCCAGAATTCCAGCCCAGGTTTTCAGAGTTTTTCCCTTCCTACAGTCATACAGTCTTTTCTCACACAACAATTATATACTGAACAACTAAACCAATAAGAGTTCATGCACAACCTACTATTATGAATGACTCCAGATGAGAGTGTCTACTAGTGTAAAATATTTATATAAAACAAAGGTTTATAACAGTTGTCATGTGAGAACTAGCTGTTGCATGGCTTTGTAAAATTAGTCACTAATCCATGTTTAGATGCACTTTATATATAGATTATAGTATGAAATTGAACTTGTTTTAAATGTAAGAAAGTAAAATTATTAGTTATTGATACTGGCAATGATACAAGTATTGGCCACGATAAGGTGCTCTTGATCGGTTATTGTATCGGTCCTGAAAGTTCCACATCAGTTCACGCCTAGCTTTATTTTAGGGGCCAGCCTCCCAAACCCTAGAAAAGCAGCCGCTTACTGGTGATTAAATCTGAGGCAGTTCATGTTTCTGCATGTCACTGTGTATGTGTGGACAGGTGGAAGGTAGAGACTGTCCTCAGCTGAACCGTGAAGCATAACTGTTCAGGAATCTCCTCTCCTCTCCCCTATTCTCCTCTCAACCTCCACCCTCTTGACTGCTTTCAATAAGCCAATCCTCTTTCTCCACCTTCAGCAGGGTCAGGAGTCTCCTCAGGACAGAAGGCTTGCTCTATTCAAACACATACACACAAACATGCACTCAAAGATTAAGCCACACAGTGGCTTTGGCATGTGATGCCGACAGGAAAGAAGAAAGCTGCACACCTCATGCATACCTAAGAAGCTACACCAGCACACATTTCCCTGGCTAACTTGGGCACTGAGCTGGCAGAAATGAAATCTCTTAGACAGAGGGGTTTATGTTCAGAATGGCTTGAATGCACTAGCATCCTTTCCTTCCCCAGAGTGGAAAAGCGAGCCCGAACACTTGACATGTGCAGCGGAGAAATGACGTAGGGTGATTACGGAGGCTTCCGACTGGCTTAGTGCCCACACAGCTGATCTACCGCCACGTAGGATAGAGGAAATCACAAGAGTAACCCCTTATCCTGTCTCTGTCCTCTCTCTTGCTCCCCCTCCTCACCCACCGGCTGGCTCGGAAGGGATCTTCCCTTGAAATTCATTAACATTCCAAACGGCTGCGCTGTACATTTCCTGGCAGCCGCTTGCTCCAAACTAAACAGCCGCAGAACAAAGAGAGTGTGTGAGGCAAGGAGGGAGTAGAAAAGGAGAAAGTGTGAGAGAAAGAAAGGAAGAGAGAGATTTCCTTTCCATTCTTTTGCCACCTCCCTCCATCCTTGCTTCAAAACCTCTACTTCCTTTCTTAGATCCCCCCTTTTTCCTGGAGCAATCCAAGTTAACATAAGATCCACTCAAAGGGGATGGAGGCCCAGCACATATTAGGCCACAGCTGAGGACAGTATAGTCTGTCACCTAGTCTTTTGCAAGGGTCAAAACAGACAATACTAATCATTCTGAGGCAGAAGCGCAGGTCTTTAGGTAGATGTGCATTGTAAGGGTGGGTAGATAGCAGGCCACTAGGATGGAACGGAAGATAACCATTACCATCAGCCAGAGAGATGAGACAAGAAGCCCAATAAACATTCTTGCTGCCAGCAGAGAGAGTGCATTTACATCTGAAATATTCGCTTTGCATTGATTCTTGACAGAGAGAAATGGGCTCAACTTGCGCATGACTGTCCCTGGATGATCCCTTAAACAGCATCTTGTTAAAAACACTCCTGCCAAAGTTCAGCAGACGTCTGCCAAGGTAAATCTGTGGCATCAGTGCACACAACTATAGAAAAACGCACAAACGCAAGGGCGGTTTTCATTTCACAAGTGGAAATGGAAACATTTCTTTGTCTCCTCATCTTCACTGCAATAGCATTCAGTCATTAAAGCTGTACCTTCTCATTTGCAAGTTGTTAGTCCTGCCTAACCATGGAAATGGTCGTAGCGTAACCGTGTAGCATAATCATGGAAATGGGTGTAGCCCACTGATTCATCTATAAAATTTAAAAGTAATAAAAAAAATTAAAACATTTACATTTTTGCGAATTAGTGTACATGTTTGTAACTTCTCACTTCTACTCACTTATTCTGCTAGCTGATCCTTAAACTGCTTCATTATGATCTTGTGCTTCTTTTGGTTTGCGTGGAGTCTTATTCTGACCCCAACTCTACAGTCAATCAATGTTTGCTAGATGCACATCACAGATTTACGGAACATGCAGTTATGATTTTGAATGTGTGCAACCTAGTGGCCTCTGTGAGCTACAATTATCCATGAAACCCTTTTCTGTGACCTGACATGCATCTCAACAGAAGTAAGAAATCAACCTTAAACACTATTTAGCAATTTTCTCTGCAAATGATCACCAACTTTTGAAAGTGCACAAGGGAATAAGAACTGGATGTAATACAGTGTAAATGGGGGGATGAGGGGGTGGACATAAGCATCCACCCCTTTATACCGTCTCCAGCAAAAAGTACACCTATGTATAAATATTATCTAACACGCACACATACAGAGTTTTAGTTTAAGGACAGATGTCCTTACTTAACCCTTCCAAACACTGTTTTTCAAAGTATAACCAGGACATGCATGCCTGTGTGCTGTTTTGTGAGTGTGTATGTAGCTGCACTCCTGGCACTGGACGGAACACATCCAGCACAAGCAAGGTAAACGGATAACACAGCGCAGATGTCCTCTCGAAGTCTGGCCAACAGAAGGCCGCTCCCCGGCCTCATTGACCTGGACTCCCTCGCTGCCGGGGCCTTCCAAATTACAGCCTGCTAAAGCCTTCACATGTGACCGCCGCTGTCGCCTGGGCAACAGCAAAACCACACAAGCCTGGAGTCCTGGGCCCGCATTCATACTGCACCTCAGAGCAGCACTACTGCGTCCATGTCAGATTAGATCAGGAACTCACTACAGTGTAGGGAGGTGAAATCCCATCCAAGACCTGTACTCTGGGATGCTTCATGAATGCTGGCCCTGAACCTTCTCCTGCTTTACGGACGTGCATTCAAGCCCTGCTGCTGCCGGTGCTGGCCCTCTTCCAAAAATCTCCCGTTCTGATCTTGTCGGCACCATGACGGAATGATTACGCCGCCGTCCCTGCCTGCCGGACCCTGTGCTAGATTTGATTAAGTCACACGGCCCCGAGACCTATGAGCTCAGCCCTGCTTTGATAGCCCGTCTCCAGGAAGACTAAGACAAAAAAGAAAACATGGATTTGGACCAAAGCTGGAAAGCACCGTCGAGGTCTGGGAGCAGCCTGCACATTGTTTCTTGTTCGTTCCACCCCTTTGTGATGTGGGCTCTTCCCTCGAGCTGATCTGGAATCTATAAGGAAAGAACAGCAGTAGGGGAAGAGCTGGGGGAAGTAGGGAGCGTTCACTGTACCTGGGTGTGAAGACAGCGTTGTGCAAGAAGTTCTCAAACACCTTGCTGAGGGCACGCTCCTCAGCTTCGGCTTTTAGATCCTCCTTGGTTTTGGGGCATGGGCAGCATGGGCCCTTCTCAGCACTGCCTGCGTCTGATTTTGTGGGCTTAGTGTCCTCCTCCACGTCCGACAGGGCTGTGGCTGAGATTCGGATCGGGATCTTCAATTCTGAGGTTATTAAAAGACACACAGGGCACAGCAGTACAAGTTTAAATGGATATACTGTACATTTAGGTTTTGTTGGTTTTATGGTTTGTGACATGGTAGCGTGGGTTTTTTTCTGCTGAAGGCTGCACATGTGAGTATTAAAAACTAGCACTGTTCACTATATCTGTTAACTATAACTTCAAAACTGGACCAGGGAGAGAGAGAGAAATAAAAAACACATTGAGATTGGGGAAGAGTATGAAGGAAAAGGAAAAATAAAAGAGAAATAAAGCAAACTCACAGAGAAAGGGTAACTAAAGAAGAGGAATGGAAAGAAAACAAGTGCAAGTGAAGGGTCACCACCTTTTGAGCAGTAGTTGTGCTGATAGAGCTCGCGGTCCTCAGGCTGCTGCTGCCAGCGGAGCAGGTAGAAGGTAGAGTTCCCATTGGGAGAGATAGGAGGAGACCACTTCACCACTAGAGATGACGAGGAGTTTGCATACGCACGAGCATCCCGGGGCATTGAGGGCTCTGTGAAATGAGCAGATCATTAAACATTCCCTTCTAACCCATGCCTGTAATCGTGGTCACATGAAAGTTAGCTAAAGGTATTTAGGCCATAACAAAAATCAATATTTTCTGCTGTTCATTTTTTGCTGTTCTCAAAATTAGAGCTGTCTGTGGAAAAGCATTCCTGTACACCACAAAAAAGTAAAACGTGTATGCAAAGTTATGAAAGATTTGTAAAATGTCAAAACACACCACATACAAGAAAGGCTTAAATGGTTGAGTACCATATTCTCCTATGACAAATATGTACTTCATGTGATTTTGCTGTCAACAGTACACAGCTGTCCCCCTGATTTGTTTTTGAATGTCTTGCACACAAATAAAACTTTGTTTTTGTCTTTTTAATCATAAATCACTCTTGTCCCATTTAAGTCCAGTGTCCTATTTAGTCCAGCTGAAAACATTTCACTGAAGTTCACATTTTCAAGAAAATTAACTGAATGTGTTTCCAAGCAACAAACATTAATTATTATTCATTAACAAGGCATTTGACTCTCATACCAGTTATACCCATGTTGGACATGCTGAATATTTTATCATGTTTCCTTATTTTGCACAAATTAATTTGCGCAAATGAATTCATAAGACTTCAAAGAGATATTAATTTTTCATTTAATCCATGTTTTGCATATGTGAATGAGGGAAATGTAAAACTATCTGAAATGTAAAACAATCTGAGAGACAATTTCAGTGGGCTCACAGGGCATCCTAATAGATACCGATTCATTTGACAATTGTGGTTAGGAAAAAGCCTCCTAACTTTTCAGCTACAAAACCAAAAAAAATCTTTTAACAGGCCCAAATCATGGAAAACTGAATTTCCCTCACTTTTTTTTTTTTTAAAAAAAAGGATCGTGAAGTAATAAGTAAACAATGTTGAAGTTTCAAAACATACAGTTCACTCCCCGGTTCATGAAGTCCATACATGGAAAGTAAGCTGCAAAAGCAGTCTGTTTTGAATTCACTGTTTCAGTGATGACCTATTTAGCATACAACAGTTTAGCCCCGCCCATTCATATTTACATTCTAAGGAGCGTTTTTTGAATGAGGCACAGCCCATCAGTCTTAAAGCACAGTAACAAAAACACCCTGTTTAATTTTAAGGGATAAAGAGAGGTTGGAAAATGGAATAAAAATGAATTATGACCATTAAACCACACAGATGTTTTAACTGGACCTTTAAGTGGATTTTTACAAAAAAAATGCAGAATATGGGCCCTTTAAATGCAAAATGTATTAGTCCATAAATATTACCACTAATCAACAGGTACAATTGCGCAAATTTATACACTACAGCTGATCAGTTCTGGTATGTACCTGAGGCTTTGGTGCGGATGTAGACCACTTCACTCTTGGCCCCCAAAATATGCTTATCCTCCACCACAAGGGTGATGGCTTTCACGAAGACTGCGTACTGTGTCCAGGGCTTGAGTGGGTACAGCAGCACTCCTGGATCCAGGGATTTATCCTGAGGGAGGTCCACGTCCACCATAGTCCAACTACTGGACCCGCAGCCGTCCTGCCCGTCAAACTCAGTGATGTTCTGGAATGGTCTGTGGTACATATCCGTATTACCAGTGGTGCTTTAAGTATGTCAAACAGTTCACAAACACTTGTCAATAAATATGTCTCATTACATCTGGAGAGCCTAAACAACTGTAAAACTACAGAGAAGTGTGATCATAACTGTATTTAAGGAATGGACTGGTTGCCACAGACAAAGTGGGGGACTTAAAGATTACGAAGTAGGAGGTGTTTAATAGGAAAAGATCATTATTTTATCCACGAGTGTATTTTGGCCACAGATTTTTCATAATATGTATCGGCATGAATGCAAGCCAATAGCAACACTCACGCTTCCTTGTAGTAGACTATAAAGCTGATGAGGTCTCTGTAGTCCGGCGGTCGGTAACGCTCCCATGTGAGCTTTATTCGATTGCTCTGTGTTTGGTTGGATTTGAACTTCAGGATATGAGTCTCACCTTAAGGGAAGGACAGGAAAGAGATTTATATTAGTGATCTTGGCAATATTCTCCATCAGATATATATCTTTTGTTCATTCACGGCTGTGTCTTGACAAGCAGTCAAAAAAATGGGACATCAACTTTTTTCCGGAATGTGCATTTATATCAGCCTACAAAGCAAGAATTTACTTTTTGTGTCTTAAAGCCTGAGGTGCAGTGTAATTACATTTGCAGATACAAAAAAAACAGCACGACCACATTAGAGAAGCCATTATCACTGTTCTTAGCCAAACTAACTCAACAACAAAGGCTGTCTTGAAAACAAAACACAGTCCTATAAGAAAAACAGACCAAGAACATTAACCTTCAAGAGCAAGTGTATCACTGCTGAGAACAGGTCTTTAACAATAATCAGCAAGTACAGACGTTTAGATTTGACAAACATTTCAAATCAATATTTGATGACATATTCAATGCACTCCAGAAGTGCAGACTGTTTAGGTGACGCAGGGCTACTATGCTAAAATGTCTGCATTTAACCAGTTCACAGCATCTGTAACCATTTACAAAGAAACATTCTATTTAGCCATAATACTAATCCCACTTTCTATATTTTATAAATGTTTATGTATCTGCATCAACGTCAGCAGAAATATATACAAAAAATATATTCGATAGCGACATCAGCCCAGAATTTCCATATCAGTGCACCCCTGTCTATTATACTGAATATATATGGATCATTCTCCATTTGGAGCGGGAAACCATGTCACAAAGGTTGCAGGGCTTAAAAAGATGCTTAAAATATGTGTATCATAATGTTATACTACATTTAAAAATATGAATTTTATTTAAAGAAATTCATTTCTCACAGAGATTTTGGTCACTGGTGTTATCAGGACTCTTATGTTACATTTTAACATAGTATTTTCAGCTCTATTAAACTGCTTCTTTGGGTCAAGGCTCATCAGAGAGGAAGCATCTGAAGGCATGCGAAGGCAAGTCCATACTTGCTTAGTGTATTTCAATTTTTAATTTATTAATACTTTTGTTTATCAAGCAGCACATAATGTCTATGTATCACCGGTGTTATGTGCTTTAATGGCTGGGCAATTAAAATTTTGTTCCATATATTATTTTTATTACTGATTTTAAAAAGTTGCACAAGGTCACCTGACAGCCAATGAGAATTTACAAAATCCCCAGTTTTAACCAGAATGTCACTGGTGTGACAGTCACTGGTGTTACACCATATTCATATAACACCAGTGACATGTAAAATATGTTTGTAATTTACCTCTCATTTTTGCATATATGATACTAGGAGATGTTAATTGACATATTAGGATTGTTGGGACATCATTATAGCGTAAGATGTGAACAAGTGAAAATATAGATGTGTCAAAAATATAAAGATGTGCCCAGGTGACCAACCACCTGACAAAGTACTATGAACAGCACGCTCACTGACACCCAAATACATTCAGCTTATACTCACAACTGGCTCGCTCGCCGTTGTTGCGGATGTCATCTTCCTCCATTTTTTCTGTGATGCCTGTTTTCTCCCACATCTTGCGGATTTCAGACAAGCAGAGTTTGGGGTTAGAGCGGAAGAAGAGCTTTCCTGCCCGAATGGTCAAGTTGTGCTGGCTCCAGTCCCACAGGTACTGCAGGTGCTGGTTGTCAAGTGCTGAGAATGCATACATGCTGCAGGAGGCACAGACCAACAAGAGCAAGAATTAGAAACGCTCCAGTAGCTTATTCTGCTCTTTCTGCAGAATTTACTAAACCATATAACAGGGCTTGTAAGGCATGGCAACAATTTGGCCTCCTTTGGCATTACGTATATGTGCTTTGTGTGCACCAGTGCTTTGTGTGCAGCATGACTGTGTGTAGATTGTACCTTGCCCACCCATATAAACACATGCATGTCCGCAGGTGAACATGGAGGAGGTCTGGAAATGTTCTGCAGTTTGAGTACACTAAGTTCAACTGAGCAGCTAAGGAACGTGGAGAATGCCGGCTGCGCACTCAGCCCTCCACAGGATGAAATCTGAGAGTAGAGAAAGCCATTCCCACGACCCCCTCCACCATCTCCTCCAAAACTCCCAATACATGTTACATAAGCTAGAACTAGCCATACAAATCATACAAATGGCCAACACCCTAAATCTTTCAGCATATCTTCACCCTTCACTGTTAAATCTTAAAATATAAAGTTGCCAAAAAGGCTCTGCACAACGCTACAGAAGGACTTCTGGGTCCTTAAAAAAACTTTCAAAGAATGTTTTTTTAGAGAACCTTTTTTGTAAAGATGTGTGAGTGTGAAGAGCCTTTTAAGGTTTAAGGAACCTCTACATAATGTAAAGGTTTAAGGAAAAAATTTGTTCACAACCTTTACATTATGTGAGGGTCCTTTTAATCATTAAAAGGTCCTTTAACATGCTTATCTCTTTCAAACAGGGTTCCTGAGAGAACTATTTTGGTTATTAAGATGAGTAAGTGTCAAGAACATTTCTAAAGCTTAAGGAACTTCTACATACTCCTTTGAAGGTCTTTCACATTCATCTTTTTCCAGCATGGTTCTTTAGGGAACCACAAGGGGTTCTTCTATGGCACTGCTCAAAGAACCATTTGTGGCACCTTTATTTTTAAGAATGTTGTAACAAAACCTTGCATCTTTAAAATGGTACCTTTCTAGCAGAAGGCAAACCTTTAATGTAGGTTAACGTAATGGGATTTTACTTTGGACTGTTTCTTTTGGTCTATTTGTCATGAAAATGATCACACACTGTAAAAGGTAGCCGTCATTTTCAAATGGTGTTAATAAATAAATAAATAGAGTGTGTGTATGTGTACATAAAAAGAGCATTAGCTGCTCTGCTTTATTTGGAGCCCATAAAAGTGCGAAGGCTCATGGCTTCTCACAGCTGTACATTCCATCAGGCTGAGCATTCTATCACTTTTGTGCGTTCCTATGGAAACCAGCAAAGACTCGAAAACACTTAAAAGGGAGCTTTTTGAAGGATGGGAGCCTGAGACATTTATCTTTATCCTCATGCGAGGATGAAAAAGTGTTTGATACACGCTGGACCAAGTGCTACAGGTGAGAACTGACAAAAGCCAAGCCTGCACTCAGCAGCAATAGGGTTTAAACCTGCTGCGTTACAGAGAAGGAAAAGGTGATGTAGGACATGTGTTCATTTCAGCGCTGACTGGGGTGAATGTTTGTCTCCTCAAGCTCTAATAAAGGACCAGCATATCCTACAGGTGTGCTGAAATGAGCCAGGTGTGCTTTGTTATAAACAAACATGGAAAAAAAACCTGATTAAAATAATACAATACTATAATAATACAAACTGTAAATTCTGAACTCTGGGAAAATATATGTGCTTGCAGTATCCTACATCTAACACCTAAAAATGTACCTAAAAGGTGAAAGCTTGTGGAGTGATGTATGGGACACAGTAAAAGGAGCAGAGTCTTACTGGTCTAAAAGATCCTCCCCGTTAATATAGCGCAGGCTCTTCAGGAAGGATAGGGAGCCCAGAGTGTGTGAGTGTTTGATCCGCACATAACCCGTCACTGTCTGGATCAGCCCCATGAAACTCTCCAGCTCTGATGCAATGTTATCTGGGGAGAAGACAGACAGAGAGACAGAGACATGAGACATGTGGGACAGAGACATGTGACACCACAGCAGTCTTGTACAAACACATTAATAGACCCACGATCTAATAGGAAGATGCCCTTGTGCATGTAGATCTGTCAGTTATGTTGAAGAATAACCTCTTCCATCCAAAACACATGAACCAAGGCAAGGGTGTCTACTGAGTAGGCACATCCCGATTCAGGTACAATCTGATCTGATCCAATCAGAGTAATTTAATGCTAAGTAGCAACTAACCCCAATCCAATCTAATCTTTGTGTTTTCATAGAAAATACAGCCACATAATGCTGATGCTGCTGAGAAGAGTCCAAATAATATCTGTTCATTCAATGGGGGGGGGGTACTATGGTGGTCCCTTTTTATTCATCGACAGGTTGGAGGGTAATTAACAAACTGTGCAGCAACAGATGGGCTACAAATCAAAAGTTATATCCCACAACAAACTGCATCTATGTGGTTGGTGTACCTGATAAAAACTCCCAGATATTAAGATAATGTCATAACTGATTAAAGAAGTGAGATGGCTGAACACTGGCCTTGTGTTCAGCTTGAAGGGCTGCTTTGCACTGGGCAAGACTCTGTAAGGCTGAAGCAGGAATGAAAGAACTTACTGCCCCGGCGAATGTTGATGTGCAGGTTGCCTTTGATGACAGTGCAGCCTTGCAGAGACTGAGCGGCGTCCACGGAGTCAATGGTTTTAGTCTCACACACCTTATCACACAGGCCGTCACATGCACTGCAGAACATACTGTACGAGGAGAGAGAGAGGAGGAGGGAGAGAAAGAATAATAGAAAGTCAAGGACAGGCCAAAGCACACTGAGCAGACAAACACCAGTAAACCACAACATGATTACTATGTCTCACTTAGTTAATTTAGTCATGCTTCTAAAAAAAATAAAAGAAAAAACTAAAAGAGAGAGAGGGAGGGGGAAAAAAAGAAAAAAAAAACAGGGTCACTGTATTTCATGGGGCGAGTCCTCACATGAACTCTGGCTTTTTGCAGACAGTGAATCATTAAATCGGCTCGGAGACAAAACAAGGCTGATACAGTCTTGTATTGTGATAGATGGAAAACTAAAACAGATGGAAAAGCGAAACAGAGCAAGTTCAAAGCGATCGATGGTTGTCTTAACTTTTTAACTTTAAAATATCCAGTACCAACAAAGACCAAAGTTCAGTGACTGCAGGCTCTTCATTCCGGTTATGAGTTATACTTCAGATTCATGATCTGCAGTAAAGCAAACCCATTACCCTCAGTGTCCTACTAACAACATCTGCCCTGTGTTTTCTCACTAATAATTGCCTTGTGTGTTTGCACAGCCTTGTTCACAGCCTTCAATCATTAATGTCAAAACAACACCTTTTGCCTTGAGTGCATGGTAAGAAGCTTGAAGAGTGTGACACGTGAGCAGGGCAGGTGAAGGACACACTTTGGCCTGAGTTGAATAATTTACTACAGCTTAGTGAGCTGGCTCCACAAAACCACAAGACATGTCAAAACCTAATGCCAGCTTCGATGAAATACATTTGATTATTTACTATGGAGAAGATAACCAAACCAGTATGGATCCAAACATCCATTTTAACCAAAACTTTACTTCTTTTACCAGTTACTACTCGAAGTAGTAGCTCACATAACTTGGAATTAGGCCTGGGTGATCAATAGAAATAACAATTCTGATTAAAAGAAAATGTATTTTTTGATATTGATAAAGTGCCTTTGACGTATTAATGTGAAAACTACTATGATGTTCTGTTCTTCAGTCTTGTATTAGCAATAAAGGCTTCAACAATGAATAGTTTACACTAGGTGGCAACGTGCACCTTTTGGGTAGATAACGAGGGAGACGATATCTAGCCTTCCACACATAACGGCACAAATCAGCACAATTTGCAGTGTCAGACGTGTTAGTTTGCTAGATAGGTAGGAAGCTATTTTTACATACATTCTTTATGTATTATATAAAATATTTTCATATATTTTTTCCCCACACACACTGCCCACCACAAATATTGGCACCCCGGTAAACATGCAAAACAGGCTGTAAAAACATTCTTTATTGCTAATCCTTTTGATCATTCATTCAAAATATTAACAAAAATCTAACATTTATTTGAAGAACAATGATTGAAATAGAAACAGAAATCTTATTATGAAATGATTTTTTCCTCAAATCTGTGTGTGTCACAATTACGGCTACCCCTTTGTTTAATACTTTGTGCAGTCTCCCTTTGCAAAGCTAACAGCTGCGAGTCTTTTCCTATATTGCTTAATGAGACTGGAGAACACATGGCAAGTGATCTGAGACCATTCCTCCATACAGAACCTCTCCAGAACCTTGAGATTCTGAAAGCCACCCTTGTGGACTCTCTTCTTCAGCTCAGCTCACATGTTTTCTATGGGGTTTTGGTCAGGGGACTGGGGTGGCCATGACAAAACCTTAATTTTGTGGTCAGATAACTATTTTTGTGTTGATTTTGAGGTGTGCTTTGTATCATTGTCCTGCTGAAAGATCCAACCACAGCCCAGGTTAGGCTTCCTGGCTGAGGTAGTCAGGTTTTGATTTTATTTCTGCTGGTACTTATCTGAATAAATCATACAGGGCCTTCAGAAGAAAAACAGCCCCACAATATGACAGACCCACCACCATACTTCACAGTGGAGGTAAGATACTTTTCTGGCTATGTTTGTGTCCACGCCAAACTTACCTCAGGCGTATTTTGGTCTCAACTGACCATAGAACACAGTCCCACTCAAAGTTTCAGAAACATCTGTAGCCGCTGGAGTTGGCTCTTCACAGCAGGGGCTTTCTTTTGGCAACCCTCCCACACAACGTCTGGTTATGTAGGTGGTGTTTGATTGTAGTTTGGGAGACGTTCTGACCCCAAGACCCAACTAATGTCTGCAATTCTCCAGCTGTGATCCTTGGAGATTCTATCGTGACTCAATCCATCTTCTTCACTTAGCATGGGATCAACATAGACACACATCTTTCCTGCAGATTCTTAACGTCTCAAGTTGTTTAAATCATCTTTATTATTGCCCTGATAGTGGAAATGGCCATTTTCAACTTTTTAGATATTTTCTTGCAGCCATTTATTGATTTGTGCAGCTCAACAACCTTTTGTTGCACATCACTGCTGTTTTCTCTGGTCTTTCTCATAGTGATAGATGACTGAGGGCAACTGGCCTGTGTTTCATCTCATATATATTCCCCAGTGGAACAGGAAGTCATTACTGACTGTTTAAATGTTCCTTATCGCTCAGGTGAACTTTAAAATATAAAGAAATGAATGGGAATGTTAGATTTTACTCCTAAGACTTTCTAGGGGTGCCAACAATTGTGACACACATAGATTTGTGAAAATATTTATTTCCTTTAAATACTCAATATTTTATTTCCATTTTCTTTTTTCTTTCAATCACTCACTCACTCACTCATCGTCTAAGCCGCTTATCCTCCTGGTTCGCAGGGGGGCTGCTGGAGCCTATCCCAGCACTCATTAGACGGAAGGCAGGAGACACCCTGGATGGGTCTTTTCTTTCAATCGTTGTACTTGAAATAAAGGCTAGATTTTTGTTGGTATTTTGAATGAAAGACCAAAAAATAAACAATAAAGAATTTCACAGTAAGCAAGCACCAGGGGTGCCAATATTTGTGGAGGGCACTATATAACCAGCATTTCATGCAATATACCAACCTTTTTATTATTTTATGCACCCGATTCAAAATACTTGTCAAGACGTAAAACTGAGCATTAGGAATGGCATATACAGTTGCAAACTACACTTTGTTGATTGTCTAAGTGAAAATATGTTAACACATCCTCTACAGAGAACACACTTCTCCACATGTTAATGCACTATTACTGTTTATTTGCTAAACTTACATATTGGAAAAAATAAAACATAAAATGTTTCATCAAAAGTTTAATTTTTTTCAAATATTTTCAGCTCAGCAAATAAACAGAATTTGTGCACTAAAATATGACATATTTGTATGTTCACAGTAAAGGATGTGTAATTATTTCTCTAACAAAACATGTAATATGTATGGTGGTTTTCTAGGTTTTGTATGTGATTGTAATAATTATCAGCTCCAGTTTCAGGATTCTCACACCTTCAACTTAAGAGCAAGAGCACACGTGAATGAAGAAAATAGCACCTTTGGCTCTCGTTGCGGGTGAATCCGGGCGGGCACTCGGGCATACATTCGCCATTGTGGATGACGAAGTCCACCTCACTGGGCAGATGCACCCGGGCACATGTCTCCATAGTGATGCAGCGCCAACCTTCGAAGCGGTAGGTGCCCGGTGGGCAGTCGGGCACACAGCGACCCTCGTGGTAGTAGTGTTGGCAGGCGGCACAGGCCATGTCGTTGTCAGGTTCAGTGCAGCTCCCCAGGCACTGTGGGTGGCAGCACTCCTTGTTATCCGTGCACGTCCGCCGCTCACATTCGGGTGGGCACTCTGGAGAGCAAATAAACACGCACAAAAGAGAGCAGATTAGCGGCAGATGAAAAGAAAAGAGTGCATCCTAAATACAGACACCAGACAGCTGGGTCAAAGAGACATCATGCATTTGCACGTAACAGGGAAAAACAGGGTTCAGGGTTTGAGTTCATTACTCCTGCCTGATAGCTCTAAGCAGTGCTAATGAAAAGGCTGAAATACATTTAGGGACCTCAGTAACCTGAGAGCTAAAACAGTCCAATAAGTGCCTTGTTATTAGATCTATGGTATATCACACAGCACACAGGGGAGTGGAGCGGTTGCAAGACAACGATTAGCCTCTGAGCTTAATGTGTGCATGTGTGTGTTTAGCTTGGTGGAGGTCAGAGGGCACCCAGAGTGCCAGATTAGTGGCCTGTAAAACGGTCCTGAAGGAGCAGGGGGCGGGAGGGAGGAAGTGGAAGCTGGAGTCAGGCCGTTTGGGATGTTTGCGCAGGGCCTCGCGCTGCTCTATGCCAGCCTTGTTAGTAAACTGCAGCCTGGCCTGACTACAGATAAATATTATTACAGTTAGGGACTATTAAGGGAATTGGGAGGGAGAATAAGAGGGAGAAAGAGAGAGGGAGAGGCGGAAAGGAAAATCCAGAATGCTAGCAACAGTGTAGTTCAGGGAATTTTATGTCTTTGGTGTTCAATGGAGGGATTAAAAGCTGTAGGTATGGATCTGAGGTTCTGCACCAAAGCCATTTGAAATGGACCCTACAAAAAACCAGAAGGAAAAAGCTTCTTATTCTTAAATGGTTTCATCCAGATCCCAGTAAAGCACCTCTTACAAGAACCCTTTTGTTTTATGAGTTTTAAGGACAGTTCAACAGCCTATAAAGCACAAGAACGCAATGTTCTACCATTGCTAAATGTCCACAGGTGTTGCATCTAATTACAAGATCAAATTCATATTTGAACAAAGAGCCGTTTCTGCACCAGCTTTGTTTAAACCAAATCTGTCTTTTGTCTCTGAGCCCTGCAAGATCATCATTTCCTACGAGCAGTCGAGAATCTGGTAAAAAGCTTTTGAACAACAGTTCTGTGTTGTTGCTGAAGGGGTTAGACGACACGGCGATGTAACCCAAAACACAGATGATCCGGCTTCCAGGCGCTCACATGGAGCTCCATCTCACTCGCATCCAAGAGAGATCAGCTTCCGTCGTGAGCATGAGAAACTCAGCAGTAAAACGAGTGTGTGGAGAGAGAAAAAAAAACGGGGTGTGTTTTAAATTAGGCTTTCGGCAACAAATCTTATTGAACACACTTGGCGTTTAGTAATGAGAGTGGAGGGACCCGGACACATTGTCTCCAAACGTGGGATCAATAAATGCAGCATTCCAACACACTGACTCGTGTTGAGCTGTAGGGAGAGAAAGGCCCTGTGGGTAACAGGAGAGGCATGAGGGAGGGCAGGCCCGAGCTGCCGCTGCTAACCAGCCCTGAGGCTGCGTATCAAAATTCAATACTTTGAAGGCATTAAACAAACTGCTTTCTTAATATCAAGTATCAAAAAAACTCAAAAATGGAATTTGTTGCCAAATTTTGACACCTAAGTAGTCAGTCTTATCAGCATCAGTGAGCCAATAAGAAGGGGCGCTGATGGGCCCGTTTTAGGGGGTACATTCTGAGTTTAAACCAATAGTTGTTGCCCCCCTCACCCCTAGTAAAGGCTAAGCCATACTATCCATAAATCTCTACAGACATCCCTGCCAATAAGCATGCTAATTCTAAACTGTAGATTAAAATAACATCTCATAAATGTAGAGGAAAACACTAAACCAACGTGAATTCTTGAACTGAACGGACTTCGCAAGTTTTACAAAAGAAGTCAAAAGCTTCATTTAGCCAGGATTTTACTTTCATATTCATCATTAACAATAACTTTTCTGTATCTTATTTTAAATACAAAAAAACTGGCTTAATTCATGAAACAAAGTTTTTCAGTATTGTTAGGTACAGAAAAAGAAGCGATGCACAATGATGTCGACAGATCTTTGCATAAAAAATGCACTGGGCAGATGTTTATGTTTATTTGTGCTAAAATATCTGCACTTTATTAATTTTACTGCATTTTTACCTTTACAAAAGTAAATGTAAGTAAATGCTAGATTTCTCTCTTTTTACATCTTATAGCTGTTTCTGTCTCAGCAATGGCATCAGCAGATATGTACACATTAAATAACGGATATTGGCATCAGCCAACAATTCCCATTTCGCTGCATCCCCAACAAAAAGTGCTGTTCATGATTGTTCTTGACGTCAAGGTATCAGTACTGATATTGAAAAATTCAGAATGATATGCAGCCGTAATCGGCAGTGGCAATGAAAGTCTGGAGCAGGCTGAATGCCTTCACATCCCAGTATGCTTGATGAGAACGTAGAGCACATGTAAGCAGACTGCATCACAGGATGCCTTGAGCTGGAACGGCGGCTCCATAAGAGGACAGCAGCAAGAGAGCCGGCAGTCGTGGTTGCCTGGCAACGGGATCTTGGCACTGTGTGTGGCACACCCGAGAGGCATGGCCAAAGACGCGTCTGAATGAAACATTTCCCCTGCTTTATTTATGAGCCTGAACCATTCGGCCAGACATTACAGGGCAAACGTGACCACTGCGTTTAGTGCTGTAATTAATACTGGTTAAGCCATCTGTTTCTGTGTGCATGTGTGTATGTGTGCACGTCTTTCTCAGGAAGATACATTTAACAGACCCCCACATACTTTCTACCCTAGCAAAGAGGAACTGCTCAGTATAATTTGGCCGTAAATATTTCACATAATATCTCGTACCCTGACTAACCTTACACTTAAATCTTTCCTCTCTACTCCCTCCCTAAGACAAAACCTCCCTGTGCCAGCAGCCCCTTTGGCCACAGGCTCTGTTCTCTCTCCTCTGTCCCACTCCTGCCATTTTCCCAAATACTCTGCATTCTTTCACACATTCTGCCGGATCACAAGCCACGCTAAGACGAGGTGGAATTACTGGAACATTCTGTAAGAGGTAAGAGTAGGAAAAAAATCCTACTTGACTGCCCAAAGAACTGGCCAAAAAGGAATAATAATAAGGTTCATTCGAGTTACAACTTTGCTTGTTTTTAAATCTGCCACCTCTCCTTATGAGATAAAGCAGATGCTAGTCGCCTTTGTCAAATGCCTTTTTACACTTTGTATGGGAATAAATCAATGGCTGTGATACTGAAGACAGTCTGGTACGTATGTACATAGCAGACAAAGTGAAGGCCGGTAAATGAGAGCTGCTTTTCCTTAAATAGCCATATGGCCCTTTTATGGGCTATTAATAGCTGCACGCTTTCCAGCTCTAATTCCAACAGCGACTGAGCACTCGCGCCTCTTCCCCTGCAATATCTCACTCCTCACCCACAGTTGAGCAACCTTTGAACTCTCAAAAAGCCAGGATGAAGGTAAGGGCTTCCCACTGTAACACTTGACCTGCAGATTAGTGGCACTGCTGCAGAGGAGAGAGGGGGAAGGGATGGGAAGAGACCGCATGGCTGCTTGGAATTCCACCAAAAGGGGGCAGCCCAGGCAAACTCAAGTTGCTTCTCATCCCACACCGACAAAAGCTCCTCGCCACTTCCACAGATTCTTTGATGGGGAAAAAATCTCAAACGTGCATACCTTCCACTGAGCAAAGAGGGGAAAAATGGGGGTGTGAGGGAGGGAGGGAGAGAGAGAGAGAGAATGTCCCGTTTCACAGATCATGCACTGTAAGTCGACCTCATTTCCCATGGCGACCAAACACAAACCCACAGCAAGAGATGGCCTGCTCCTTTATTTTTAGGCAGCTTGGGAGCATGGGCCTATTTCCACCTGACCATGCTCCACACACTGCTATGCCAGGAACGGCAGGGTTCCACCCGTCCGTACAAAGAGCCCACTGCCTAACAAGGAAGTCCGAAGTGGTCAGAGAGGCCACGGCCAGGCAGCAGCTCTCAGGGAAGAAATGGATGGAGATCACCGAGGACACAAGGTTGCAAAAGAACATATCGCTTTGACGGTGACAAATATGTGCAAATGAGGACCTTCTAAATGGGAAGCCTGAGGTGTACAGCTCTGGTCCTGGGGGGCCTTAGTCCAGCAGAGTTTGGTGATTTCTCTGCAAGTGATTTAATATTAGTTGACAGGTTTAGTAGTTGTGTAGGCCACTTTTGTCCAGGTCTGGTCCTGGCAGGCCTTAGTCTAACACAGGCTGAACTAACACCACCTCAAGAAAACCTGATACAGCTCAGCAGGTAGTTATCAGGTGTTAAAGCAATGAAGTCACCAAACTGTGCTGGACTAGGGCTCTCTAGGCCCAGAAATGGACACCTCTGGTCTAATCTATAAGGCATAATTGCCATTCTGGTGCAGCATATCTACATATCGCTAAAAAAGGCTAAATAAATAGAGCAAGCCTTTAATGTTCTCTTAGGCTACGCAAGACGTATCTAAAGAAATGCACCACAGGCACTATATACACAGCATCACCCATTAAAAGCAAACCAAAAGGAACGCAAGCTGAAATGAAGCATCATTTGCACAGTGCCCTCACTGGCCAGCATGCAGGGCTTGAGAGGAGACAGAAGCGTCTGGCTGCGGTGAGGCTGTTTGCTCAAAGACCCGTGGCCTGCTGGGAACATAGACATGACCTGAAGAGATGGCTCCTGTCTGTTTATCTGTGCAAGAACTCCTCCTCGCTGCCCTGTCTGACTGGCACTGCAGAGAAAACAAAAACTTGCATACGTGCACACACACCCTGCACTGAGGAGCACCGCCTTCCCTCCTCTCTCTGAAAACAGACTGGTCAGACAGCACACAGACGCTGCCCCTGCTGCACTCCAAATATCTGCAATGTGAAGAGCGGCACACACGCTCTCCTCTGCAGCGCACCAAGCGAAAGGCGCGAGGGACTCTTCCAGCCACCTCAGTACAATATCCCTCAGAGCCGGCGCAGGAAATAAGGAGGATTGTAAAA